AGAGAAGCTGGGAGAACCATTAAACCAGTGACATGGTGGAGGGCTATTGAAAAATCAATATCATTTGGGGAATATTCCTAAGACATTTTTAAATTCGTCACCTAATGCCCAGCGCTCTAATTCGTCTAATGCCCAGCAAGCTCAGCGTCAATTGAAAGGATGTTTTCAAAATTTGGAGTAATTCACTCAAAACTTAGAAATCGTTACTGGGCATCTTGCATTAAATTATCTTACAAGTAGGTGAAGAGTTGAGCAATAACTGACTTCTCCAGTGAGGAAAACATTATCTCACGAGCGTGGTTTGTTATAACTCCCGATAAACCTTCCACATTGATCTTTTATGACGTTATCCAGTGACTTAACCTGAGATAAACAAAGAGCATAGATTCGGTGCATATTTGACATGATTATTGATTATATTTTCAACAAGTAGCGCTACTGTGAACATGCAAATAAGGGTTGCTTCAAAAACGTGTTCCACAATTCGCAAGCGTTATTTTTCGTTAAATTTTGACATAGTGAGTTGCACTTAGTCGAGAATGTCTTTAAGAAGACAAAGAAGCCATTATCAACAGCTCACTGCCTTTGTGCATCGTGGCCGTGTAATAGTGTCAACCTGATGATTTAACCTATTGTGTTGCCATTCATGAGCAGCATTTAAGAGGGTATTTTCCAACATGATAACACTTGCCCTGATATTGCTGTTGTAACACAGCATGCTCTACAGAATATCGACATGTTGCCTTGGCCTGCAAGATCACCAGATCTTTCACCAATCGAGCACGTATAGGACATAATTGAAAGACAACTTCAGCATCATCCACAACCAGTATTAACAATCCCCTATTTACTGGCAAAAGGCATGGAATTACACAAAATGACATCTGTATGACGCAATGCATGCCCGTTTTCATTCAAAATTCTGGTGGCTACATCAGTTATTAATGTACCAGTATTTCCCATTTGAAATGTTTTTTTACTTCTTAATTGCACTAACCTGTGATTTTGAAACTTAAATCAATTAAATATGTTACTTAGACAAATGCATTTTTGAAATTACATTACTCTACAACAATTTTTTCTAGCTGTTGTGATTTCCATCAACGTATACTGCACAAATTTATTTGGGAAGATAAAGATAACAAAATTCTAAATTCAAGATAAATTATATAATAGATTAGATAGATAGATAGATATTTTAGGATTCTATATAAAATTAAAATAAATAATATGAAAATAGTTATTTTTAAAAAAAAAAATTTTACAGTTATTGCTACTAAACAATTGTATTGGTCATTTTTAGTTTTATTTTTCTTTGCTCAGTTTCTTTCTCTAGTGTATTAGAAGAAAGGTTTCTTCCAGAAGAAATTTCAACCCTGATGAAAACACATAGGAAATCTTAATAGGAAAAAAGTGTGTATAGGGAGCATATTTATTGATTGCTGTAACTTTCCGCATTTAAAAATTTTTCAATTCTAATTTTTATAAATAAAAAATTGATATACTTCTGGATTGTTTTAATTTATGAAATTTAGATACTTACACATTAAAACCTAATTAAAATAAAAATTATAAACATTATTTTAAGAAATAAAAACACTTGAATTTTTTTAAACAGTATTGCTTATGTAGATCTAGATATTTTACACAGATTTGAATGCTTGAGTAATAAAACAATAGAAAATATGTAGCTTTGAAAAAATTACTTAAAAAGTTTTACAATTGCTATTTTTTTAATTATTTGTACAAGCACCAAATTTATGTTACAATTATGTTTTGAATTACGAGTAGACCAGACACAAAATGTATTCTTTTTGCTCATAAATGTTTTGAAAGCAAGATGATAGGAACTATGATGTTTGATTTTAAAATCACATGAATATGGACCATGACAGGGTTCCCACTCTTTAAGCAAAGCAATAATTAAGGACTTTTAAGGACTCTTTTTTTGAAAAAATGAAAAATTAAGGACCTTAAAAATAGCATGATTACCATCGAATATACCACCAGTGACAGTTATTTACTTTTCTTTAAAAAAAATCAATAAAAAAAAAATAATAAAAAACAATTTTATTATAATGTAAGTACTGATATAATTGTATTAATTAACAGGGTTCACCAAAGATGGACCAGGTAATTTCTGCACACCGGGGTTGGGTTTTAAAAAAAAATATTCTCAGATTAAATGTTAACAACATCTATGAAACTAAACCATATTCCATTTTTAATTATTTCACTGAAATTGAATTGTAAAATTAAGTGCAGAAATTAAGATTAGCATTTCTTTCCATACATTTAAAAAAGAGTAAATAATGAAATTTGGGAAACACATTGAAAAAATTATTAAAACAAGTCTTTATATTTCGCTGTTAGGCACGCATAACATTCAGTTGTGGGCCAATCATGCTAAATATTAACAGGGTGGCCACTCAAATCAGATTTCAAATTTCCCTGATTTTTCCAGGTTTTCCAGATAAAAATATTAAAATTTCCAGGTTTTTGTTTCTTTTTTCTTATTAAGTGTAGGATGTGTACAAGAAAAGTGTCTATATTATAAAATATTTTATTCAAAATGTTATTTTGACAATTTGGCAAGATTTTTTATTTATTTTTCAAATGTTTTGGTACAAAATTTTGAATCAAAAATCATATATTGACCAACAAAAGAGTAAAATTAAATATTAATATATAGTTGGTTCTTAAAAAAACCATTTTTTAAAAATATGTTATAAAAGGTTAAGATGAAATAGAAAAAATTAGCATTGATGCAACAATTGTAACGATTTATCGACAAACATTGCTGTCAGCGATGGTAAAAAAATGTGTGACTGGTTGGCTTGCTGAGAAAAAGTAATTCACAGATTTCCTTGAATGGGAGTAGAAAAAATTTCAGAAAAAGAGTGCAATATAAAATCTATTATCAAATTATAACCAACTAATTTTTGGAGAATTTTACCATTAAACTCTACATTCAATCAATCAATCAATCAATCAATCAATTTGGAGAATTTTATAAAGTTAAAAATACAAAAACATTTTGTCAAAATAGAAAAAAAAATTACCACCAAAAGCATCGGAACAAACTTGAGCCATAAATGGATTCAGCCCAAAGACAATATTTAAAAATAGAAGCTAATATCCTAAATCTTTTTCCACCTACACCAGAATCTTTCCTAAATTGCACAGTCCCATAGCGGTCAAAGGTTTCTGCATTCGTTTAGCAACAGTAGGAGAATTTTATGTGGCATTCTAGTTTAACAGCTGTAATGGAGCAAATTTTGATGCAAGCAAAGTATAGCTAAATTGATAATATTTCAACTGTTTGGCGATACATTTCCGTTAAAAAAAGTGGATATAATGGATGAAATAATTTAAATTAAGAAAATTAGTACATAATTTAAATTAGTGAAATTAAAAAAATTATCAAAGAAAAAATTTCCATCTTTTATCCAAATTTCCCTGATATTTCCAGGTTTTTTCCAGTATAAAAAAATTCCCTGATAATTCCAGGTTTTCAAGGTTTTCCAGGTGGGTGGCCACTCTGATTAAGTAATGCCAAAAAGATTGTCTCTCTAAAATGCTCTACCGTTAATGCATGGTTTCGTTTTAGGTGGTAAAAAAATGACTTTTTAAAAAATATTTTTCCAAGACTGAAAAAATTGTTCCTATGAAGTAATAGTGATGAAGAAAAATTAAGGACTTTAAAGAACCTTGTACCAAAATCAAGTACTTTTAAGAGCCCTTATTTAACAAAATAAAAATTAAGCAGTTTTTAAGGACTGTGGGAACCCTGCATGATAATTGATCTTAATCGTGAATTCTTATTTTACGATTATTTGACTACGAATCATGATATTTGATTTTTAAAACATGTGAGTACAGATCAGAATATTTGGTTCAAAAATCGCGTGATTTACGAATAACGGTGTCTGTTTTTTTTTTTTAATTGCGTGAAAACAAATGTTACATTTTAAATCTGAGCGAATACGAATCAGGATGTGGGATATTTAAATCGTGGGCATGAGAATCACGATACATTATTTGTCTATAAAATTCAGTTGATGTGGTGTACACATAGCTCAGGGCTCGAAAAACCGCCCGTCCTTGGAGGTCAAAAATTCCCCGTGGACAACAAATTTCTCGAATCCAGCGTCCGCGCGGACGGCCATTTTCCCGTTAATGTTCGTAATACATTTTCAATTTTTGTTATCTTACAAGAGTCTAGCGCCTCACTTCTAAAATGACCCTCTAATCTAGAAATACAGCAACATACTGCGCATGGTGGAATTGATGTTTTCTCTGTCTGGGAGTACTGCAGCGGTTGAAAGGGTCTTTTCAGCAATGAACTTACAAAAAAANAAAAAAAAAAAAAAACACATTACTTACTGGTTTTAAACAAGAAGCATTAAACACATTTATGAACATCTACCTAAATGGAAAACCTCTTTCAGATTTCTGCGCAGAAACCTCTGTAAATCATTGGCTTGATTGTGGAACTGACAAACGTCATATTTGATTCATTTATAAAACGGATAAATTGACATGATAATTGACAGATAACTTGACCTTTGTTATTTAAATTATTTCATAAAAGAAAGAAATTATTTCATAAAAGAAAAACTAGGTTTTACTATTAGTAACCTAGTATTTGTAATCCTAGTAACTACTAATTTATTGTGCAATTTATATAAATGTTTGTAATAAATAAGAGAAAATTATATTTTTATTTATTTAGAAGAGACGGGTTAGTTTCAAAGGAGGACGGGTACATTGTTGGACAAGCCTTCCTCGGGGACAAGTAAAATTTCTGAGTTTTTTTGAGCCCTGACATAGGTTATACCTCCATTCATGGAGAATAGCAAATCTGAAGCATTAAATTTTGCCCATAAATTAAAAAAATTACACGAAGGAAGCTACATAGAAATTATAAAAGAAACTAAAAAAATTTATCCCCGCATTAATAAAATAATTTATATGTATTGAGAATAATAAAGCTAGCATAAAGAATTTAAAGATCGATAAAATGTAGTACAAAGTTGATAAATGAATCGATAGCACAAAAATGGCGATTAGTGAGGAATTCCACCATTGTAGGCAAAAGTCATTCTTTATTTGCCTGATTTTGTACATAAAAGCATAAAAAACTAATTTTTTTTGTTGCGCGATTTAGAAAAAAGGTAAAGAGTTAAAAAACATATCGCTTACAACAATTAATGAGGAAATAATAGTCTAAATGTAAAAGAAGTCATAACTTTTTAAAAAATAGTTGCTTTTGGATGCTTTTTCACAAAAAAGTCACCAGGGAAAACCCTACCTCTATGAAATATAACAGCTTGTATGATTTAAAAACATTTGTCATTATTATTTCATGATATGCTGCAAATATAAACATATTAATTTGCCTTTTATGTTTTGAATACATCATATGAATCCTCAGCTTTTAGAAAAATGCAAATCATTAGATGATGATAGTCAATTTTTTTCATTTAAAGAAAGGTTCGCAATTAGATACCACTTTTGGAAGATATTTTTCTATAAAAGACTGAAGAAAAATGAAAGTTGATCTACTTTCTTTCCACTTTGTGAGAGGGGTCAAAACTATGATAAGGTTTTCTAATTTGCCCAAAAAACTCCAATAGACATCACAATAAAACCAGAAAAATGGTTGAGGACTAGTTAAAAGAGGATTTTGTTGGATTAGATAAGTTGAAGTTATGAACTCTTGCTTTATGATAGAATTGTTGAATTGTTTTGCATCACAGTCAACAACAGAAATGTCTTTGTCTTCGAGTTTAGCACGGCCTACATAAGTCCTGTTGTAAACCGCACACTGAATACACTCCAGGAATCGAAAGTCATTATCTTTATCCTCCATTTTAAAGGTTTCCAAACTTATTTCAGGTCTATTAACAATCTCACTATCTATCAGCAGTCCAAATTGTAAAAGCTCGAGAAATGCATCACAGACACTTTCATAAAATTTTCGTTTTTCTAAGGCACTTTTTCTCAATGAATCTGGCAAGTTAAAATCAATAGGGAAGGATATAGATTTTTCTGACATCGGTGGAATTAAACAATTTTTGCACAGTTTATTATATTCATCTATGTTGAATAGAAGTTCAAAATTATGTTTGAGTTCTGGTCCATCTATTATTTTAACAGCAAGAAATACTGCTTGCCTGAAGAAGTAAAACAAATGCAATTTCAGGTTTCGGCTGGTATTATGAGACAATAGGAACGGGTCTTGAATGCACATTGAAGATATCTAAATAAATAATACAAATAGATAAATAAATAATGTCATGATGAAATACAAATTTCTTATTGCAATCACTCATTGCACAAAATATAAAATAGAACACCTTAATAACTTTTACTCTAATCATTAGATTAATTCACAAATTCAGATGTAAGCTTAATCATTTCAGGATCTTATCTTTTTTTATATTAAATTAAATACTAAGAAAAAACAATTAGTTGTAAAATGATTTTTTTTACTTCAAATTTTCTCTAAATAAACAAGTTTTAATGCATTATCTAAAAAAAATTTTTTATTTTGAAACTACAGAGACAGGCAAAATATCCAAAAAATGATATTAACAAAAAAAAAAGCCATTTTCCTAACTAACCATTCAGACCATATAAAGTAGAACACCTTAATAACTTTTAATCTAGTCATCAGATTAATTCACAATTTGAGATGTAAGCTTAATCATTAACTAATCGGAACTAATCTTAAACATATTGATTAATTTGTAAAAACAGAAAAACATACTTTCTTTGACCATGGCCATTTTAGGACAGATTTGGATTCTTAACCCTCAAAATAAAAAATAAAAAGTAAAACTTATATATCTTAACGTTATTTCAAATGCAAAATATAATTTTATTGAAGTATTCTAACATTAGTTATTTATCGAGATACTTAGGATTATATAATTTAAAGTTTTTTCTGATATTAAATAAAATACTAAGAAAAAAATCAACTATAAAATAATCATTTTTTACTTCAAATTTCCTCTAAGTAAACAAGTTTTATAGTTGCAACTAAAAATTTTTTTTGATTTGTTTAGGATAGCTCCAAAGATAGGCAAAATATCCAAAAAGTTATATTAACTAAAAGCGGCTAAAGCTTTTAGCCATTTTCTTAACTAACAATTTAGACCACATTTTAAAATTGCAGCTACCCCTCCATCTTTTGACTATTAAAAATCTAAATCTATTATAAAATTCTGTTTTTTTTCTTCAGAGGAATCATTTGATTTCGTAACAAAATGTTGCCTGCATTAATTAATTAGTATCTTTAGGGTCACATTCTTAAACCATTAAAATTGCATCTGAAGACATGAAAATCTTGTTATTACATTAAAAATTAAAGAATTTTTCCCCCAACTTTGAGCACTGTACTCAGGCCTTTAAAAATTCTTAAGCACTGATTTAAATTTTAGAACATTTTTCAAAAATTTCTGCAGAAATTTTAGACAAATTGTTTTTAATTAGGTTATATAGTCAAAGGTTGATAAAATGTCCATTATGGTCTTAACAAAAATAAACATCATAACATAATAAAAATTAAACATTATAATGTGAGGTCACCGTTTGGAGTTGGTCTAAGAAATCCAAAACCGTTGAAAAAAAGGTATGTTTATTCTGAGAAAAGGCGTTTTTGTGTTTGATTTCATAACTTAATACATCTTCAACACTAATTAATTAGCATATTTGAGGTCAGCTCCTAGAACGATTAAGATTGAGTCCTATAACGTGAAGATCCGATCATTAGACCAAAAGTTATTCAAGGTTTTCTTATTTTTGGTGCACTGTAAATAATAGCAAAATTAATTGTTCATTCTAACGAAAATTTTGTCAAAAAAATGTATTATCTGCTGAATAATATGCTACATAAGAAAACCGTAGGTTTTTAGCAGTTTTTATCGCTAAAAACATGGTTTTACCTCTATTGTGCCGAAAACCCAATCCTCCAGAAATCGAAACATGAGTAAAATCCAGAAGACTGTAAATGCCATTTGTTTTATCGCTAAATAAATCACTTTTTACAACACTTCACAAAAAGAGCGGATTCAATTTTCAAACAAGAAAATAAAGTATGATTGATGAATTGATTAAAATCTTTGAAAAGAAATTTACAAAGGTTATGAATGTATACTAGACTTTGATTTCCACATAAGGATACACTTTTAATTCTCAATAATAAAAAGTAAATATTTTTAAAGCTTTTTGATCATGGATTAACATACAGGGTTAAACTGGTCCTTTCGCTCGGTCTTCATTTATGATTAATTCAAGGTATTTCGTGTTTATTGCGTGTTCACTACCAGAAATAGTGGTTTAAACTATTTTCTCCAAAGTTTTGATTCATTGTCAATGCAACAAATGCTCGTTTTGAAAGCGTAGGAAAGTTACACACCCGTTTTTGGAATTGAACTAAATTTAAGTCACCATAATGGAATGAATGGTCTCTTTTTGGACATTCTAATGGGCGTTAATATAATATTGGATCTATGAAATAGCATATGAGACTTCAAGATTGGTCATTGAAACTGAAGACTCAATGGGAGATGATTCTAATCAGTGTAAACTGTAAAAAGAATATGCAGTTAGACTTTGCAATTGCAAAAGAGTTTATAACAAGATCATTTAGGATACCAACAAAATAATTGACAAATTTGATTGATGCCCAATAGTGCAATCATGCACAAAAATCTTTAGAAATTTATATAGACTGTGACATTTTCAAAGCTTTTACCTATAATTTGAAGAATTTTTAATCACTTCATAAAAAAAACACCCTTCATGATGATAATAACTTTTTTTATCCACGAATGCTTATTTACCTAATTATACTTATAATCAAAGAAAATATCTAATTTTGTAACATAACCTAATTAATCAGCATATTTAAAATATGCTTATCAAATTATAAGACAGCATCTTAGTACAGTGAAACCTGCCAAGTTGACCACCCTTGTAAGTTGGGCACCTGCATAAGTTGAGCTCAATTATCAAGAACGGAATTTTTCCTATATAATATAAAGAAGCAAAACCTTTGTAGCTCGAACACCTGCCTATCTTGCATGTTGACCACTGAAATAAGTCAATTTTGTCTAGGAGTATTATGAAATTCTATTCTAAAACCCTCATAAGTTGACCAGAAAAATAAAAATTCAGAAAATTTTCTGTCATTTTTGCAAATTAAATTTCTCTTGTTTGGTGAAATAGTGTAAAAAGCTAATCCAAACCCTTTTATGAGTTGACCCTCAGGGGAAACTGTTAGGGGTCAGCTTTTGACCATTTCTTTCATCCGTTCATTGAAAACAGGTGTGTTAGTTGAAAAGTTGCTCTTCTAGTTGCAATAGTGAGCATTTGAATAAGTGAATGCTCTGAAATATGCTTTGACCCTTTATTTATGGTCTTTGATCTTTAAGTGTAGTAACTAAATTTTAAAGTGTTCAAATAATTTTATTTTGTTAAAGTTTTCAAATTACATGTTTTCGTGTTCTGATATTTTAAGAAAATATACTTATTAAACACTTCACATGCATAACTAACGAAATAATTTTTTTTTAAAAAATTAGCTAAATATTAGAATTATATGTATCAAATTGAAGTTCATTCAGGTTTAAACACATTTCTTAAGATATTCATTTGCATATTTTCTGAATAAAATTTTTAAGTCAAGTAAAAAAAAAAAAATATATATATAGCAACATGATATAGGAAACGAAAAAGTGAACAATGACCCACCCCCGCTATAAGTTGACCACTTGTCTAAGTTGACCACTAAAACAATGCACCACAAGTGGTCAACTTACACAAGTTTTACTGTATTTGAAAAGCTAAACAAGTAATATATATCAAGTAATAAGTCAACAAAGAAAAATTTTATTTTAGTTACTTTTTATTAAATAATTAAAAAAATTTAAATTTAATTAATTAATATTTGAAAAAACTGTATTAACCACACAAGTTTAAAAAAATGTATTTGAACTTGAATGAATGAATAAAAAGTATTTTATTAATGATTGAAAATTTGAACAAGTTATATAAATATAAATAGGGAGAGTGGGAACTAATAGTAGGAATTGAAATAAAAAGGCTCGTGGTATCAGATTATAAAAGTATAAATTTGGTGACGTAGACCACACGTGTTACCACGTAATGTTCTTTATTGAATTTATCTGACACAGCAAATATAAAATAGTTAAATATTTAAATGTGCGCAGTAAACTATTTTTTGTTCAAATAGAGCTATAAGTTAAAAATTATCACTCATGTTATCTTTAAAATATGTGAAAAAACTGAATCGCTTATAGTAAAATTTAAAACAATGACTAAGACTTAACCAATCAGAAAATTCCATTTCGTTTTTCGCGTATACCTATTTAATTCATGAATGTTTGAAAAATCTGTATTAACATCAAGTGTCGTCCACTATAAGTTATAAAAAATGTATTTTAACTAGAGTGGATGAATAAAAAGTATTTTATTAACGATTGAAATATTGAACAAGAAATAGGGAGAGTATGAACTAATAGTAGGAATTGAATAAAAACTTATTAGTTAAAAATTTTTGTGGAATACATTTTATTGTACCAAGAAACAGCAAAAGTTTTAAAATTATGTTGCTTTAATACTATAGCAGTATGAATTCAATATTACAGCAGTGAAAAAGTAAAACTTTCTTCAGTGAAAATGGAATTTAAATTGTACTTACTTCAAATTCTTTCAATCTGTTATCACAGGAGTTTAATAACTCTTTGATTGGAAGTCTTTTTCCAGAGCTGGGACAAATTATGTTGTTGGCAAAATCAAATTCTCCACAAAAGTGGAAAAATTCTCTCAGTAACTCACCTAAAATAGTTACTCCATTACTTACAAACCAGAACAAAATATTGTGCATTAACTTATGAAATCGAAAGTGAAATAGACAGTAATTTAAAGATAATAGTTTTTAATTTGGTTATTCACCATCTATTAAACATAATATAACTATGACATCTGAAATAAGATAGCAATGGATGCACTTTTGTTTAGTAGAAAAATTAGATTTAAAAGTTTTATCCTATTCAAAATTTTGTATTGCCATTAATTATTTAGCCCACTCACCTTCTTATTTAAATCTAAACTATAACTTAAAAAATGTTATCCGTTTTCTTACAATTTGATGTGGAATGTACATGAAATACCATACATAATTTATAAAAAACTGATAAATAATAAAACTTGATATGCTGTGCAATATTTTTGATGTTTTATCTATCTAACTTTTAATAATATAATTACCTAGTTTATTATAATACATTAGAAGTTTTATTTATTAAACCTCTAATAGTATTAGAAGTTTTATTTATTAAACCTCTAATAAATACAGATAAAATATATTAATTATTTAAATATTGCGAAATAAGAGTATCTATTTTCTTTCTCTTAATATAAAAGATACAATAAAAAATTTGGTGTAAAACTTTAAAAGAACACTTATTCAAATTTGATTCATCAGACATTAATAAATGAAGTTTTATTGAATACATAATTAAAAAAAGTTTTTAAAAGCATCTAATGTATAATAATTAATGCACCTAGAGCAATATTTAAAAAGTTCATATTATCATGCATTCATCTAATTATATATGTATGTTTAGTATTATTATTTCAAATAAATATTCTATATGAAACCATTTGCGATAACTATAAAAAAATTCAGTTCTTATTTTTTATGCATTTTATTGCATAATGAGGATAGAATTCTGAAACATAAAAAGCCAGTTAAGCAAAGAGATAGAAATGAATAAGTGCACTTCAACTTTGTATAGCCAATATCACAAATTTATCCCTATATAAAAATCTAAATCAATCACAATTAAAATAACAAACTAAAAATGTTGGAGAAAAATGTACAAATGCAACAGATCTATTATAGTAGTATATTACAATACATGAATACATACATAAAATTCAAATGAAAATTATAAAATGGCTGTAATTATCTTTTATAGAAAAAAAAGGTCATTATTTTTTTTTCTTTTCAAATTCTTGATTCACCTGACCAAAGAGGGATTACCATTTACAAAGAGGGATTACCATCCTATTGCTGAATATGGTTTCAAAATGTTATGTAAAAACTTTACTTTTCTGAAACATGTGCTACAAACACATGATTGATGATAATTAGTTTATTATTTTTTTTTTCATCAAGTGAAATCATAGATTAAGAGCAACAAGGAGAATAGGACATCAATAACTCAATTTCAATACAGTAGAACTCCAATTATCTGTGAAAGGATTATCAACGGTACGAATTATATGCCAGTTTTGTGAAGATATTAGCAAAGAAGCACATTTTAAACAAAGAAAATTTTAAAATTAAAAATCGGCACTTCCAAAGTAAGAAGCAAATACAAAGGACTGATTCTTTTTTTAAAAAAAGTGTAACTGAACATTTTTATGCGTGAATACTTTTACAGGGTTCCCACTCTATGATGAGATTGAAATTCAAGGACTTTCAAGGACCTCAACAAAATTTTCAAGCACCTTAATCTAAGACCAATTTTAAAAATTATTCTCTTCTATTTTACTAGAAGCAACAATGCTTGTTGTGGCAATAATTAATTTCAAATATAATACCTAAATGCTTTGCCTATATAGAGAGAAGAGAGTATATGTATTATGGACTAAAATTTATATTTTTTTAAAAACAACCCTACTGGTTTTACATATTAATTCACAAAATCATTTTCAGCACAATCTATAACTAATGGTAATGAGGTGTTAATGGTGAAATCCTTTAATCCTGTGTATTTCCATGTGAAGGCTGCATGAAAGACAGAGCTAAATCTTAGGTATTCCATATTCCATGACTATTCCATAACCCCCTCCTCTCCTCTATTAAACATCGTTTCTGAAATTATTCATCCATAATTTACACAACCTTCTCTAAATGTTATGCAGCAACAATTCTTTCTGAAAATAAAAATTAGAAGGAACATATCCCATTTTCACCATGTTTAAAAGCATTATTCGTTATGTGTAATCCACAACTGCCAATGAATATGACCTGGTGGGAATATTTCTCTTTTAATTCACACTGAAGCTTCTAATAGAATTTCCAATTGACATAGGGTCCATCCATGGATAATTGAAGTATTTTAGAGAGCTTTTAACCATCATCCATGCATTTGTAAAAAGAGGACAAAATATTTTCTGCAGTTCCATGACCCATAAATTGGGAGGTAAGATACTTAGTGCAAACTTTATTATCAATTCCTTACCATAATGTCCATCTGCTTAGATTGTAGAGACTGATTTAACGTCTCATCAAAGAGTACAGTGTAGCAATCAACATTCTTCAGCTCATTTATAAGAATCCCTTTGAAGTATAGTGCCAATCCAAAGGAGCCCAAATAGGCTCACTTTGTGGCACTACAAAAAAATTGTCTCGCTATACAGCTATCAGCAAACATTTTGGAGAACAATTTACTAATCCCTTCACAGGAGTTACATGAATAATTACTAGTGATGCACTTCAGACTCCAGAGAATTTCAGCATCAAGCACATTCCTTTTGACCAGATAAGAAGACAATGTTACCTCGGCCACTAAAGTTTCTGTTTCACATGGGGCACACGATGTTGAAGGAGTATTTACACCAGATGAATTAGATGTTGATGTCTTTGGAAAAAGAGAACTCAGGGCATGAGACTGCTTTTTTGTTTTACCTTTCTTTCATGTGTGATTTCAGAGCAGATTCTTCCATTTTCGCGATATCGATCTCCTTCATGCATAATCGGCACTTGGCTCTGAACTTCTTTTCGGGCATCGATAAAATCCATTCTTTATAAGCTTGATTATCCATCCATTGGGGATTAAAATAGCACTTCCCAGGCATAACTAGTCTAAACTACATAACACAAATACGAAGCCGTGCCTTTGCGAATACGCTTTACAATAAAGTTTTGAAATGACGCAAACGTAAGGACAAGTGCGGATGGTAAAACGGCAAATTTATTGAAAACTACAAGGTACATATTGTTACGAAATTCGAGAGTATTCCAGTTTCGATAAGAAAAAAGAAGATCTAAGCATATGCGACAGAAGATGAAGTGGAGTCTCGCCCCGAACGCATTGATTGTCTGCTGTGCTCCGCGCGCTTGGCAGACCCCAAGACGCTAGGCCCGGTTAGAAACGGTGGCGTTAAAAACCATGTGAGAGAGCTCGGGAACAAAACAGAAAGAACGAGAAAGATCCGCGGGTGTTTTATAAAAAGGGCAGCCGGCAGTATTGGACAAATTCAAGGACCTATCAAGTTTTTCAAGGACCTAAATTTAGCAAAAAAAAATTCAAGGACTTTCAAGTACTCTCAAGGACCGTGGGAACCCTGTTTTATGAAGCATATAAGCACTATTTTATTTCTTTATTAGATGTTTTTCAGTGATTTAGAATAAATTAAACAAGGTTGATTTCTGTTGTATGTTTGAAATCTATATAAATGTATTAATTTATTTTAAAATTATTTTTCATGTTTAAACCATACTTTTTGAGTTTGTTCAGATTATTCACCATTTTGTTATCTGCCTTTGCTACCTGACTATATGACTAACTGGGATTCTACAGTATTTTGTTTGGTTACTAGAAAAATTTCCAATGATTAAAATTTCACATTTTCATTTTTCTTGCAGCTGACAACACTAAATCTATTCAGCTTCCTAAAACATTAATAAAATACTATTAATATAGCTGTTTTAATATCTAATAATTATTACATACCTTAATGCCTCTAACGTTCCCCTTATTGCCTTAATTCTTTGCACATAACCATATCATATTAAAGCAAGACAAAAAAAATTATAAAAATTGCTTGCTAACAAAATAATATAACGCAGATAAAATACTGATTATATTTATAAAATATTGCATTGCATATAAAATATTTATTAGTTATCAAAGAAAACACTGCTTTTACTTATTTTATAATAGGGAATTTTCATCATCAGCACAAAAGTCAAAACTCCTAAAACTTAGTTGCCACTACTGTAATAATTATTCATTTTGTTCCAAATAGGGTTTCTCTAAATTACCAATAGATAGCAGCACAATAAGTGTTATCTATCCCTATCGTTGAATGATGCAAACACATTTATTTCTAAACTAGTTTGAACTGTCAAAAACTAGTCTATTTCATAATTTTTATTTAAACTCTCTCTAAAAAATGGTTTGGAATGGAATGGAGGTTACATATAATATATTATGTGGAAAATTTGCTAAAAAGTTTAGATATAAAAGTAAAAAAATTTTAATAAGAGGGATAACATCACAACTTTCATCATCATTTAATGAAATAAATGTTTACTTAATTTCTAAATTAACTTCAATAAAATTTCAAATAAAAAAGCAAATTTTTTTTGGTTTTTCGATTAAAAAAAATGGAATAGAAATTTTATTGCACAGTAAAGTTAATCATTCAATATTTATCCATAAAATTAATCTAAAAATTTATATATATATATATATATATATATATTTATAATTCAGTAAAACCAAACTAAAAATATCAAGCTTTATTTTAAAAACACTATAAATAATGCAGACATTTATAAATAAAGCAGATAAAAGTGCTAAAAAATAGCACTTTTTTGGTTCAGTTGAAGAATAAATTATCATTGTTTGTAACATAAACATACTCAATAATGAGACAAAAATGTTAGTAAATAAACATCTCAAAATATTTCTAACTTATATGTTAGTCTCTATGAAGTGGCCAATTCATACAACAGTTAGAGAGTTAAATATTAACAATATATTTTTGCGCAACCTCATTCAAACCTTTTAAATTTTCCTACAAACAAAGTAATGAAAGATCAAAGGACAATTACTAATTATCAAAAGAAAACAATGTAATATTAATCTAAAAGACAATGTTATCTAATGTTAATCTAAGATACCTAATAAGATATAAAAATTGTCTTTAAATGTGATCAGAAAATGTAGGTCTGATGACAATTTTAGGACACTAAAAAATGCAATAAGGAATGTAAATTACAAGAAATTTTTAAGAAATTTAATATTGCTGAAAGCAAAAAATAACAATAAAGTACAAACAAAATACAGAACATACTATAATTTTGGTTCTATAAACAAGAACCTTTTTCAATGTCTAAACCCCAAGTGTTTGGTTTATAGAATCCAAACAACAGTATGCTTATTTCTGTACTTTATTTGTGCTGTGTTCACTTTTTTCTTCTTTTTTGCTTCAGTGTGCGTATAATAAGGTATACCTTGCATCCTTGTATTGAATATTAATTAAGTTTATTTAATTGAAAGTAATGATCAATTGCTTTAAACAATTCAAATTTTTAGTCACTTAAATTATTTTTGTTATTCGTAAATTAGCATTCATGTGAGATACCAAGGTTTGACTGATTACATCACAATTTAATGTGCGAAAATCATGTTTATACATTGTTAATATTTAATCATACTTATGTTTAAAGATTAACAATGTATTAACTAAACTTTTTCAAATTTTCTTAGTTTTTCTTACTAAAAAAGTTTTGTAAATGTCACTTACTAATTAGAAAAAGACACATAAATCTTATTTAGTATTAGGGTTATTACTTAAAAAAGCTAAGAACTGAAAATTTATTGATATCAAAAAATTTATTTTTAACTTACCAAGTGATTGAGTGTTTTCTGATTTTTTCACTATACGTGAATCAAGTGTGAAAGCAACATTCCAACCGTCTGCCAAGATTGGTGATTCTAAAAAGTTAAAAATTTATTTAAGTTAATCAAGACATTAACCCTTTCAAGAGCAGTGGGATAGAAATTGTCCCAATTATTCTTGATAATAATACAAACTACTAGTTTTTTATAATAATATAAACGGTGTAATAGTTTTTATCTCTGAAATTAAGAAATTTTTCATTCAAACACTTTTAATTTTGAAAGATTCGAAGATAAATTAGATAATTTCATTTTGAAAGTACATTAGATCAGAGTTCCCCAACCTGTTTATCACCGCGGACCTGTCAACGTTTGATAATTTTACCGCAGCTCGATGAGGGGGGGACGGTTATTGTTTATTTTTTAGATTATTTTGATTTTTTAATTTAATTGTCTTTAAACACGCCTTCAAAATAAAATACAGTTACACCAAAAAATAAATATAATGTGATTTAACATTTTAACTTACTTAAATCAATTAGTCACAATCAAGAAAGAAGACTAAGTTCTTCAATATTTCCAATTCTGCGCAGCGCTTTCGTGTTTTATTTATGATATTTATAGTTATGATGATTGATTTTTTTTAATCAAATTTAATTGAAAAAGAAAATAGTTGCAGGGGTTTTCTTTTCTTTTTTTTAAAAAAAAGAAAAGAAATTTTTTATGTTACTACCTTCGGGAGCTCTTTTTTTTTTAAATAAATAAAATTTTAATGGAACTATTTTTAATTTGGGGTATAAACTTAGGAATTTAAACTCAGTTTTAATGAAGTGGACGGCCCGGTACAATTTGATCCACGGATTGGTACCGGTACACTGCATTAGATGGCCACAAAACATGGTCAATTATGGCTCTAAGAGGACGCTATACATAAGAGAAACTTTTCATTCAAATTCCCTTTCACATCCATAGCTAATTTAAAATTTTAAGTATATAAAAAGTTAATTCAGACAAATCTAGAGTAAGTTTCAAATACTGAAAAGAAATTTTCAAAATATCAAATTAAAATCAAATTGTGAGTGAATAACTTAAGATTACACGATGGGGAAGTTCTCTTCCAATAATTTGTATTATATTTTCAGTCATTGAAACTTCAGGACTTACACTAAGCTTGCTCAAACTTACTTTTTCGCTATTTTAAATTAACTATGGAGGTGAAACAGAAGCTGCAATGAAAAGTTTCGCTACCACTACAGCGTTCTCTCATCTAAAATTTTGCAGTTCAGCAATGGGTCAATCAACTGAGCATTTATTAGAGAGAAATTTAATTCATTTCTTAGAGTGTAATTCATGTATTTAGAAAGTAATCTCACTTTAAAAAAAAACAAACTTGAATGCAAGTCATGATTGCCTGAATTTGAACTTTTGAACACACATTTTTCAGGAGCGAAACTTGAATCCGTCCTTAATAAAAGGCATTAAAAAAGATTCTTTGGGGAAAATAATATTACCTGAAAGATCTTGAAGAAGTTTAACAGGTGGCAAAACTGGAGGTTCTACATTCTGAAGGAAGAAAACAACTAAGAGTGTTAAGGCATAACTGGATAAAATTCCTGACTTGATAAATCCTAATGACTTGCCCCAATGTCTGAGAGTTATCACTAAAGGTTGCAGACGATCGTCAATTTGATTATAAAATCTCAGTAATTGAGTATTGCAAACAACATGGCTAGAATGGAAGGAATTAAATTATCAATGATTAGTAACCAATAAATACCATGCATGCTTAAAATGCACAATGCAACAAAAAAACCCACCTTGAATATCTTTTGATCTAATGATCAGATTTTCATGTACTAGGAATAAATCTTATTAGTTTGAGGGAATGACCTCAAATACGCTAAATAATTAGTGCAGACGATATTATAAGCTAAGAAATCAGACACAAAAACGCACTTTCTGAATAAATATACCTTTTTTTTCAACGGATTCGAATTTCTGAACCCCAAAATATATGGGTGTTAGCTGCAATCTAGGAAATATTGTTCCTATAGTTGATCAGGAGAGTGATCCAAAATTTGGATTCCTTAATGTTAATTTTTGTGTATTTAGTTATATCTTAAGAACTTTTTAAGCAAACAGAAATTTGTTTCCTTAATACAACTATAAAATTCGTTTACTCAAAGATAATTCCATGAAAAAAATACATTTTAATCAATATTTATAATTATTTTACTTAATAAAAAAATGGCCACTTTATTTAAAATTTCTACCGAAGTTTTATCAAAATTCTGATTTTTTTCTCACTTTATGTGCTTAAAATATTGATTATGTATCAATTATTGTAGAAATATTTATTACTCTCTCTTGAAATCTGTATTTTATAAGATCAAATTGAAGTTCATGCCAAAAGTAACATAATAATAATAAAATAGGAAATAAAAGAGAAAGATTAAATTTTGTCAGATATAAATCTAAACACTTATACTGAAACTTTTAAAAATATAAAAAACTAAATTCATGAGAGAGAAAATCAATTTCCTATATTAACTTATAGCTATATTAACTTATAAGTAACATAAGTGCTTTTAAAAAGTAAAATTACTCAACTTTAATTTACTTTTATTATTTCAAAGATTTTGTATTCCTAAGATTAAATTTTTTTTTCAAGTGCAGTTCAAAATTTTTCAAACCGAAGTCAAGTTTGTTCACCAGGAGTTGGCACTTGACCCCACCTCCTCGGTCGAAGAGTTCATTTCAGTAAGGGAAGAAACGTTTCCGCGCCTGAAATTGAGACAACCCTTAATGCGCGCCAAACTCAAACACTGAATTCTTTTTCAGTCATTTACTTTGCTTTATCATCTGCTATTATATCTTTCGTTACTCCAGCAAGGGTAATTGTGAGTCCAAGTCAAAATTCCGGAAAATTTCTTGAGTTAAAAAAAAAAAAGTTTAAATTGAAAAAAATTTAAACAAGGATTTTTCCCCCTTTTCTCAATATTTCTTACTTTACTTAAAATATATTTAAAATTTTACACATACCTATGATGACCTGGAGAAGTTATTATAATTTACAAATATGTCTTTCTTTCTTGAGTTTTATTATTCTTACAACTATTTACTGATAAAAAAATTAATATGAATCGTGAATATAAGCTTACATGGGTCATTCTCACGAAAACTGTCATTTTTCAGTTCATAAAATCCCAAAAAATCAATGATTTTTTTTAAACGTCTGGACCTTCAATCTCCGGAAACTTCCGGATCACTGCTAGCAAAAATTCCGGAAATCCGGATTTTTTCCAGAGCACAATCAGCCCTGCTCTAGCTAACTAAATATATTGCAGCAAAATGTCTCAAAAAGGACAAACTATTCACTTAAAAAAGAGAAATATCATCAAATTTATGAAATATTTAATGTTAAAAAAATGCACATAAATATAGCGAAATAAATATTTTTGCCGTACGCTCGCCAAATAGCAACCTTGTTCAGGATTGTTCACATCCTTCTCCCAAAAATAGCGAAATAGTATCGACGGATACCACGTGATGAAGGCAGAGCCAAGTACCAACTCCTGATGAACTAACTATAATTATTTATTTTGATTATTAACTAAATGTTGTTGCATTAAATTATAATAACTACATATTTTATTACCAAATTTTCTTTGTATTTCAACTAATATATCAACTTTCAATATATCAATGAATATATCAACTTTTAAGAAAACATCAATGATGAATGCAAAGTAATCAAGGGGGTTGGTGACAGGAGCAAACAAGTGACAGAATCTCCTTGTACAGTTAAAATGTTTGGATCTTTTAATTGAATGATTTGAAGTTTTGATTTAACAATCAATCTGTTAATTGTATAATTATGAAACAATGTTGCGGGTTGGTAAGCAATATGAGCAGGGAACCCTAAATATCAACATAATAATAGATTTAACTTAAAATGTAAAAAGATAATTACCTACTACCGCAAGAAATATCACAGCTTATCTTCAAGTAAGGAATTTGAAAACGGACAATTGGACATCTGGCTTGAATAAGCAAGGCCATTTGAAAAGTTTTGTCTTTCCTTATCACTCGGCGGACAAAACATAACTGTCTTAATCTATCCATATGCAATAGTTTTTCTTTCGCTACTTTGCCAGAAGTAATGTCATATATGGTTGGAGAATTAACTGCTTTATCAACGGTAACCTAAGTAAATTATAATATATTTTGAAATAATCATGTGGGCATTAAGATTCAGAAGCAGAATTATATTTAATGTTCTAAAATATGATTTTTGATGATTTGATGACAATGTTCAGTAATTATTTGTCAAAAATAATTCTCACTACTTAATAACAATAGTGAACAATTTTTTTTCCCATTTATACAAGTACATGATCTTACCTGAATCAGGTGTGGAAATTTCAAATCAGAGATTAATTTTGCTTAGAAAGCTAAAGATTTTTTTAAAACTGTATCTTCAGTTTAGAGTATTTTTTGGCTGAATGTACAAGTTTATAAAGAACGTATATATTTGTATACATATATATACACTTATCTGCTCCTTTAAAATATAAGATTTAAGCCACACAAAAAAAAAACATATGAGTTTAATGTATCATATCATAAACTTAAATGTATTATCGCTTTCTTTCTACCCCACCCCCCTATGCAGCAGGGAAGTGAGGGCACTTAGTATTCACTTGAGTAAATTTTTAAAAAATCCTGATTAGGAATATATTATCAAATTTCAGAAAAACTGTAGCATATCGAATCGCATAAGATCTTCAGAGAGACACCGATTTCAGATTATTAATCAGCGACATGAGAATATGTAAGATCTGTTTAACCGTTTGAGTGATGAAGCGTTTTCTTATATATATGCTAATAGTGAGGAATGAAATGCTTAGTAATTTTCTTGGAGAACAATAGAAATGGTTATAATTAAGACTAATTATTATGTAACAAGTAATTTTTACCAACAAAAATATTTTTTATTCTCACTTATTACATTTTCGGTACAAAACAAGAGAAGCGCTATCGTGCTTCTCCGCATTTTTGGCACATAACAAGCGAAGCGCGATAGCATTTCGCCGCACTCAAACGGTTAAAATTCTCATAAAAACTTTATTCCCCACTTTTGAAAATAGCTAATAATTTTATTTAAAAAAAAAAAAAAATACCAAAAAAAAAATCATCAACTGGTCCTTGTGACAGAATAACAATGACATTCTTGCAGGATGTTATTGTTCTTGCAAAATATTCATTTAAAAAAAAAACAAAAAAAAATTTTTTTCTCTTCCTCCAAGTAATACAGAAATAGAAAGAGTTCTATAAAAAACCTTTCTGCAGAATTTTTCAAAAGATGTTTTATTTTCTGCAGAAGTAAAATTATGGAAAAATTTGTAATTTCTTAAATAATAAATAAAATGAATATGGAAGCCATTCTCCAAATGGTTGAGGAAAATACTTCATGTTATGTAATGCTTAATTTTGATTTAAACTTTTTCATTTGATTTGTTACTAAACCTGTAACAATTACTAAAATAAAACATAAAACCAGGCTGTTATAATAAACTAATACCTCAAGAATGGCCAACTAGTTTCATAAATTTAATTCTTTTTATTTATTTTTAACTATTGTAAAAGTTTCACTTATATAATAGGAAATTCTTGTGTTAATCTTAGGGATGTAACAAATATTTGGCTACTATTCGGTATTCGGGCCCTTTTGCCGAATGTTCGGCAAAAGGTCGAATGCTGGAGGCTGGCTTGGGACATTACTTCGACAAAGTTTTTTAGGGGTAGACTTTAATAGATTTGAGAAAAAGTAAACTAAAATCATATTTTTTACTACACATTATTAGAAAGTTTTTATACATATTTGTTCAGTTCCAAATCTTGTTAATTTATGTTCTGAAAGACACACGGAAAAAAGAAATTTTGAAGAATTCAAACTAGATTACTTTATAGTGAACCATGAGTTTTGGAAATGCTGATTTTTTTAAAAAATTATATTCAGGTAAGTCAATTTCATTTTTTTTTCAATACTTAATGCTTTAAAAATTGAGAACTTTCTGTTTTATTTTCACTTGTTTTTCTGTTTTAACTAAAATGAAGCATGTTAACAGATGGTTTCTACTAGACTTAATTCTTATTGAAAATTTTTTCTCGTACGGTAGGACAGATAACTAGTAACATGGAAAACCCAGAGTCTCAACGTTTAAGTTATATTTCAGAAGTAAAAACAATTTTTTTTCTGTTTCTCTTTCGATTTTTTAAAATTTAATTATTAGTTTATCAGCATTTATATTATGGCAGTATTTTTTAAAGAGTGTTTCTAATGAAGGTTATTCTTTATTACTATCCCATATGTCACTTTAATCTAAAAGCACAGCAATGTAAAAAGGTAAAAATTAATATTTTTCGCGTTAAAATTTTCATTTAAAAATTAAGAGTGATTTTTGCTTAGGTTTCTATCAAGTCTTTTCTTTTTCAGAAAACGTATGTTTTTATAAACATTTTTATTATGACGTGGAAATTAAGAGGGTTTGTTTTGAAGACTTTTTTTTCTTGAAAACACAGTAATTGGATGACTGAAATATTTATTTTTTCTGTTTGACTTTTTTTTGTATGATCTTTGTTTCTTATATAGGTATTTCTATGATAGAGCTGCAACATAAAACGTTTCTGATAGACAATATCGCTTTTAATATTTTATGGATCATTTTTTTGCAGAAAAATATTATTTTTAGCATTAAAGTTTTGTCTTAAGAATTAAAAGGATATTTTTTTCTATCTCTTTTTTTTTTGTTTTCAACTTTAGCTTTTTTTTTCAATAGCTGTTAGTCAGTGCTTTTTATCTTAAATATTTCAAATTATATTAATATCCAATTATCATTATTATCTTAAATATTTTCCCTCTTTACCAATTTAATCTTAGAGTTTTTCTCCATTACCAATGATACAGCTAAGTTTTTATTATATTTATTAATGACTAAATTTATTTCTTTATAAAAATAATATTTATGAATGTTTTTTTAAAAAATAAAAATTTTGCAGTTCGGCGTTGAATATTCGGCCAAATCACTATTCATTACATTCCTAGTTAATCTTTTTTTTTTATCTGCACATTTATTTGTGTATTTTCATTGTTTTTAAAAAAAAAATTATTTTTATTCCAAATTATGTGGTATAAAAATTTAGACCTGAGTAATAAAGGCAATTAATAGTATTCTATTAGATCACAAATATACAAAGAATTCACTACTTACTTCACTATGATTTTCAGCATGATATTCAGGATAAGGTAAAAAGAGTAAATCTAAATCAGATTCATTTGTTCCATAACCATTTAAAGATGAACCGTAGATTGAAAGTCGACACTCTGGATAGAACGATTTTAGAGATTTGTGTATCTTATTGCGAACTTTTATTCTCTTATTGATATCCCCTGGCTTCAAACACAAAGCATTATTCAACTCTTCTATCTTTAAGCTGAGCTAAATATAGAAATAATGCATACATATTTCATCATCAAATCAAGTAAGAAATAGATTTACAATAAAAATGTTTATTAAAATCAAGAAAATATGCTTTAAAATATTATTATGATTATAATGATAGTAATTCATACAAGTAACTCCAAATATTAATATTACATAGTATTCCTGAACTGCCAACTTCACAAATTCAAAAAGCTTGAGATTTTTTGTGACCTTTGTATTGCGGAATAAGCAAAACATTACAGGGCGTGACAAAAAACACCAAACAAATAACTTTTAATGTAGTAGTAGATCTTTGTAACGCAATTCTTAAAACAGTGGGCTTTGCATTTTATGGAATTTCGTATCATAAAAATCATTTCATTTATCTTTGGACTTACCTTATAAAATATGGCAATATTAGTCTGATACAGATCAATAGTAAAAGGCGTTAACATACTTAAGATAGAAATACTTAAAAACACAAAATATGCACTAAAGTATTTATTATTTACAAAAAAAATTTTATTTTTTCAGTAGCATAAGAAACAAACAAATTAATACATTTTTGTTTGTTTAGATTTGAAATTTTAACCTCTTAACAAATAATTAAGCAAATAATGTTACAAATTAATAGTTCTTTCTTAGATATAGCAATTTATTTACTGCAAATTTCATTTTTTAGGCCCACAAATCTAGAGTAGCTTAAGGAAAATTAGAATATATAGAATTGTATTATATAGGTCTTCTACTGTTTAACTTTATTAAAAGTAAACTAATTAACAAAATACGACAAATAATAACAAGAGTAGACTTTTATGCTTATTGAATTTTTCAGCAATGGGCGTTGTAGTTCTCTGCCTCTAATCTAGGTCGTTCCCGCAGAAATGATCACTTTAGAGAGTCCGAACTTTTGTGGGGTTTCGTTCCGGTTCTGAACCTCAAAATGGACAATAGACTGCAATACTTGCGATTAAGATCTGGAGAGTAGGGTGGCCATTCATGTCCGTAAAATATGCCTGGCACCACCCTTGTGTCTTTTTAGCTTCATGAAATGGTACCGAGTCTTAATAAAATGTCTAAATTACATTGCTGAAATGCTTTTTGGCTCACAGACTAGAATATCCCGTCGGTACACTTTTTGATTTATATGAAGGCCCTCGGGAAATATAGTATGTAACACAATATAGTATGTAATATTATAAATTCCTTTATAATTAGAAAGAAAATAATGATACTCTGCTGCAAGTTAAGAAAAAGCCATTATCCCTATGGAGAAAGCCTGTTAACATCTAAGTGCGCACCAAATGGATGCCAAGCTCCAAGCACGAAGGAATATCAACATCGCAAACTCCTAAAACGACGTAGTACCACCTTCTTTTTGCTTATAAAAAAAACATGCTTTACATTTCTGTCCGAGGAGTTTAACTTTTAAAAGCTTTTATATTGCTTTGAAAGCATAATTATAATTCGATAGATAAATAAAACGTAACTATATGCAGTTACAGATAATTACTTAAATCCTATTTGGTTATGGTCTTTTCTATGGTCTTTACTTAAATCCTATTTGGTTATGGAGTATAGTTCGATTTTATATAAAACTACACATAGGGTCAGACTACATGAAACTCCTAAAATATTCCATATTAGGTCTACAAAAATTACGTACTTTAGAACACTCTGAAACAAATCTGCCACATTTGGTGATTTAAAAAGTTCAATTCCTTCAAAAATATGAAGATGGTAAAAAAAAAGTCAACATGGTTTGAGCCCTTAAAATAGGCACCCATTCTCAAGGCTTGACGTGAATGAAAAAACAAAAGTGATTTAAAAGAGAAAATGCAAAGTTGCCAAAGAAAAATGGAAAATAAAGACGAGGTTTTCTGTCTTAGGTTTTAAAGTTTATGTCTCAAACCACCATTCGGTGAGTTTTGAGAATGAGCATCTATTTTTGAACTCTCAAAACATGCCGACTTTTATTACCATCTTCATATTTTTTAAGCAAATAAATTTTATAAATTATCAAGTATGCTTCAGTTTAACTTGGGATAATTAATTTAAATCTGATACATGTTTAGGTTGATAATTTTAGCTACGCAAATGTTCTAAAATTCCAAACTGATAACATGAACTACTTTTAATGGGAGTAAGTTTTCGTCCCCTTTCGAGTTGACATTAATGAGGTTTGACTGTACTCTCAAGATAGTTTTGTTTTTTATAATTTTGACAAGTATTTTAAGGGTTAAATAACAAAGAAGTACACTACATTAATATAAAGAATTTAAACATTATAAATAAATATCCAGAAAAATTAATATATTAAGCCTATCAAGACTCAATACACTCTATTTTACAAATCTGATCTGTCTTATAATATACCATACTGGTATATTCTAAGTGTAAAAGTGCATTTATTTAAAATCTGCATAAAGATAAATTCAGTAGAGATCATTTAATAATAATAATCAACGTTTGTCCCTTTTTTTTACACTTAAATATGATGGAGATTCATAATAAATGTTAGTTAAAAACAAATGAAAAATGAAATTCTTGGTAAGATTTTTAAAAAAAATTAAAAGAAAAAAAAAACAGCAATTTAAGAAACTTTAAAAACAATATTTAAGGTGCACTTACATCTTTTAGCAACATTTTGACATCAGAAAATATCAATACAACAGCCAACTAAAAGCAAAAAAATAAGATTAGTTCGAAAAACTAATATAAAATAAGCAGCTTTAAAATTAATAACATTTTCATAATTTTAGGACACCAAAAAGCTCCAAGAAGTATGGAGAAAATGAATGGCAAAATGATCTTTAAAATTGTTTGCAGCATCAATGCTTTTATTGAAATGTTCAAGCTTAATAAAAAACAGAACATTTTGTTCAACAAATACTGAAAGATCAGAAAGTTATAATACAAGTTTCTTTTTGTAGATTACATACAGTTGGTTCTCTGTTTAACAACATTTGAAGGGACCCTTAAAGATTATCTATAAGTAAACTGCTCTCTAAATGGAATTCATGGAAAAATAACAATATAAAAACTCTTTCTTCCACACTTTTGCAACTTTAGGGCTAACAATTTTAAGTTTGTTTTGCAAAAACAAAAATGCTAATAAATTTCAGAACTCTTTTGGCATTTTATTTACATAAAAACATATGAAGACTTTAATATTAAAATTAAACGTAATACATTTTAGATAAAAACTTAAAATTACGAGTTTTTTCACAATTTACCTCATAAATAACACTTAAAGGATGACAACTCATTGCTATCATTTAAATGCTTTTTATTAGACAATTTGTGTAATACTTGTAATTTTAAGATTTTCTCGATTACCAGTGAGGTACTTTGAGAAAACAAAGAAATTAAATGATTGAGTAGTCATCTTTTAAATGTTATAACCCCTGTAGCAAAATCATGGCGACATTGCCGCAGAACGTTACAGAGTTCTTGCAGAAAGAGTTTTTTTGGGAAGTAACAAAAAAAAAAATTCTGCAGAAATTTTCGTGAGATTTTATCTTTTCTACAGAACTATATTCAAACGATGCATTTCTCGTGCATCCGAGTGGGAAAAAATGCTTTTGATTTTTCCGTGGTCCTATTTTCAAATGAGAATAATGCAAAATAAAGAAACATGAAGGTAAAAAATTTAGTTTTCTTTTCTGCAGAAATTTTCCTTCTAATTTTTTATGCAGTTATTTTATAATCGTCGTTGAACAGCCGACCCAATCTTATGGGTTTACGACTACTAATGTTCAACTCCGCAGCCTTGTCATTTTGAACCTAATCCAGAAGACAAGGAATTCCTGGATCGAGTATTGGGAGAAATTTGCCTTCGTGGAGGACTTTTTGATGGAGCTAACCCGCATTTGCGTTACATGGAGAGGAAGACAAAAAGATACTTTCATGGTTAGACTGACGGGAAGGGGACTCTAACCCATGATCTGTCTACCACTGAGGATATTTCACAACAGCACTGTGGTCGGTGCAAGCCGAATGCGGAATTCGTATCTACTGGCCTCATTGGAAGGCGAAAGCTCTATCCCCATTGCCATCTGCTGGTGATTTCCACATAGCTAGTAAAATGCAATATTTTTAATACCATAATATTTATTAGAACAACTGAATCTCGAAAAATAAACTATTTTTTGGGTAGTTACTACTACGGATTTCACAAATTTCTTTAATGTGATGATGATTTAGAAAATGCGCAAAAGGAAATAGTGTTTTCTCCCTAAAAATATATGAATAAAAAAAATTACGTACTCTATTAAAAAAATTATTTTACTTAATCCAAATGTTGTTTTTTTTGTTGAAGTTGACGCTTTTGTTACTTTAATTTAGTAACATGAATATTTGTTATTTTTAAAAGTATTTTTCAGAAAAATATTAGTATTAGAGAGGTATGTCGCAGAAAGTTGGAAAAAATTCTGGCACAGGGTTATAATCCAATTTGTCTAAATATCGAGCTAATTATAAAATTATCTACTTTTCTTTTTTTTTTTTTTTTACAAAACCTTATTTTATATTCCATATCTTTTTAACTAATAAAGATAGAAAAAGATTGTAATATTTCCGTATGGTGATCTCTACCTAAATAATTGCCAAGTCCTGTTGACTTCCTTTTTTGTTCCACAAGGAACTAAAAAGAAACTACAGAACCTCAGGCAAACATGTTTTTTTAAAAATAAAACTTGCAAGTTTAAAATCAATTTGGTGCCTTGATTGTAGTTGGCACGGAAGATCACAATATGGAAATATCCCCACAAAAACAAAAGAATTAAACAAATCAATTAAATAGCACAGAAACCAAAATTGGTGATGGATGCTTATTATCTGTTCCCTGGATTTTTTTTGTCACATTAAACAGCGTTCAATTTTCTAAAGTTAACTTTTACAGTAAATTTTGTTTTGTTTAATGAATATGTATGAAGAATTTTCATTATTGAATTTGTTTCGCTAATGTATTAACAGAACAAGCAAAAACAATTTAATGAGACCACACATACATTTTTATTTTCAAGATTCTTAAGAATATAAGCTATTTTTAGGGTAGACTATAGTTGAGGGTGCCCTTGATTCTCGCCAAGTTGTGATCGCGGTTGACTGCCAAGCTGGGCGATGTTGAAACCCAATCGTGATTCTGATTGGTTTAGATTTTATCGTTATTTTTAAATGTTCAACGGTATATGTAATTTCAGAGGTCCATTAGCTCTACATTGGATACAGGCTAATAAGGTTACTTTTGATTCTGGTCAATAAGATCGAAGGTATGTGGGTAGTTATAAAAAGGGACTTTAGAAAAATGTCACCGTTAGTCCGGTATTACCGAATCCATTTTTTATTCATATTTTGCGGAATTTATGTGGCGATGGAGGTACACAGATTCTATTCGCAATAAATTGAAACCCTATAGGCACACTAGGCACGTGCCTAGGGCCTACGAAAAACTTGGGAGAAAAAATTTGTTGACAAAAATAATTAAGCTTTAAAAACAACAAGTGCATATTGCACAAAATTATGAAGATACAAATAAAAAAATAATATTTTTCGGTAATAAATTATTTTGCAGAATCTTATGATCTAAAATATTACTTTTTTGGATTCAACGAAATCTTGTATTATGCTGTCGAATTCCAAACTACGCAAAATGTCGTATTCAATAGACATAAGTGCGAGCGATGCCGAACGATCTTGATTCATTTTTGAACGCAAATAATTTTTTATCAATTTTAATCTGGAGAAAGATCTTTTTCCTTCTGCATTTGATCCAAGAATCGACAAATGTATTCTTAATGCAATGTGAATGTTAGGAAAAGTTTTCACAAGTTTATCTTTAATTTCGATAGTTATTAAAGATAAACCTGTTTATCTTTAATAACTATCGAAATTAAATTTATCTTAAAACTCGATAAACAAATTTGCAAATTAAAATCTATATTAATAAAAATGTAAAAAAGAATATGCAAGAAAATTTTAGCATATATTTTGAAGAGAGGGGAGGAGTGGGAGAAGGAGGGGAGAGCCCCTAAAACGGCTATGCCTAGGGCCTACGAAAGGTATAATCCGTCTCCGATTGAGACAGTACCTAGCTGTTATTAGAGAACCTGTGCACCTAAATCAGAGAATATTCAAGCTTAATGAAGAGGTGAGTTGTTTTCTTCCTTTTCTCTCTGCTCTCATACTCCATTAAATTTCGTTTAGATTCAAAATGCATTTTATTGGGTTTATTAATTTTGCTTATATTGGGTTCATTGCAAGTTTTGGCCGACGTTTTGTTGAAATTTTCCAATGTTTCATTGAAATATCATTATGTTTTAGCCGCCACTCCTGTTACCAGGGTGTTCCGCGCAAACAGGAATGGAGCCAAACATAAGTCACCAATTTCGCCAAGGGGCATCCTCAAGTATATTTTTCCCATTTTTAAACATGTAATTCTAAAGAAAAATACGTCTGAAACTTAATTTATTAATGTAAGTGAATTTTTTTAATTCTTTCAATAACAATTTTTTTAAATTGGCTAGAAAAACGCTCTGGATAAAATAATATAAATTTTTTGGACATTCTATAACTAATACCACAGATAAAAACAATATTTTTTAAATAAATAATAAATGCCTGCGAATATTAGGACACAACCATCGTGTCTGTGATATCATCAGATTGGTGAACATTCAAAATTAAAATTCATTTATTCTCTTTGACACTACTCTCTTATAAAATAATAACATTTATGAAAAACATGTTTTTTATAGAAAGACTTTCAAGAAAGACGGACTTACTATACATCAAAAACAAAGACAAATTAATTTATAGTTTCATATAGTAATTCAAATTTTAAATATTGGTTGCATGATTAATATTTGAGTTTGATGCACTGTAGAATACTTGCTTAAAGCTTGCTCAAGAAATTTTGCACTTCAGGTGAAATTTTTGTCATTTTATTGAAACTAAAATAACAGGTTTTGAAGTTAATAAAGCGACTTAAACTTGGCAAAAATAGTCAGTTGAGCATCTACTTCCGAATTTGCTATTGTAAACAAATATGATCTGAGCTTACATAAATCTTTATTAAAACATTATGAAAGATTAAATTTTTCTTCTTATGATTGATTACTACTGTACTGATCGTGCTGAATTATAATCTTCATGTTCTCTATCGTAATTTGAGAATATATTCTTCAAATTTAAGAATTTGATTGTTTTCAATTTTCTATTATACTATTTTCTAACAGATTATGTTGCTTTTAATATGCATATAAAGTAATTTTTCCTTTAGTTTTTCGCTCCACTGTCATCCTTTTTCTATTATTTCTTTTGAGTATTGATAAACTACTTAATATAATCAATTATTGTGTTTTTCTCCTCATATTTAACTCATGATTATCAACGTCCTTGGGTATTTTTCATCGGATTTGTTATTTGTTAATCTTTTGTTTCAGAAATAGATAAATTAATACAATTAAAGGTGGTATTTCCTTATCTTGATCTGTCACCCCAACTAAACTTGCAATTTTATTAAAGAAAAACAAACAAACATATAGATGTTTGCCTGGGGGTGGCTACGAGTTATACCTTTCGAGTTGGTCCCTTTCTGTGATGTTCTTATTTTTACTTTCGCGAGCCGTTGTCTAGAAGTTGCCAAGACCTGGCTATTATATTGCCACAGATCACGATGCAGAAATCTTCCACAATTAAACATTTAACTTATATACAAAGTGGGTATATTTCGCTCAAAACTACTTTAACTACTACTATAAATTGCGATATACGTTTTTTTTTTTAAATCTTGAAGTTTACAAGTGTGACAAAACTTGGCGATTAATTTGACTCCGGTACCAATACGGATATTTCCCCTAAATTCTTAAAAATAATAATAAAAAATGAAGCATTTATTTCATAGAAACAGCTCACTACACAGTATTAAAATACTAAAAAAGTTAATGATGATGGCTACATAGGTAAGATTTGCCATAATCATTCACCTTTTTTTCCACTTTTTTGTTTAAGTGTTAAAAAATAAAGTTATATATTTCAATAAAATAAATGCTTTATGAATTTTTTTAATACTTTAAAATTTTATTTATAGATATACATATACCACATATAATGTCTCTCTCTATATATATATATGTATGTAATTTTATTGATGGCTTCTTTTATTACAGAAAGCTTTATTTTTTTTATTTTATATTATATCCGTTGTTGAACAGCCGACCCAATTTTTTGGGCTTACAACTACTGATGTTCAACTCTGTAGCCTTGTAATTTTGAACCATTCCAGAAGACAAGGAAACTCCTGGATCAGTACCCCCAGAGGTATTGATTTGTCAGGGAATATGGAGGACTTTGCAACTTGACAGATTTAACATGCATCCGTCACCATTTTCTACATGGGGAGTCTTCAGCCGGCGAGGATCGAACCCATGAACTCTTGGACATGGGCCCAGTGCACTACCAACCAGGCTATCCCGGCCCCACAAAAAGCTGTATTATGGATTAAGGGTATTCAAGCTTTTTAAAAATGGACTGTAAAGGAGGTTTTACATGGATAGTAAGATTTCCGTTTCTTGATGTAGGCCAAGTCTTGGTGACTTCCAAACCAGGCAGTGGCCAACAAGTAACAGAAGGAGACTATCTCATAGCCGAACCTCAAAATGTTTTTTATTTTATTTTTAAAATCCATTTGGAGATTGTAGTTGGTACGATAGATCGTGATACGGAAATATACCCCTAACTTTCAGTTCACTCACCCATATATCAGAAAATTTTATCTTTAGATGTGGTCCATATATACATAAGAAGATCCTTTAAGGTGACACATCACATATTTTTTAAAAAACGAATCTGATGAATATGCCTTCTTTCATATAGATTGCAATCATTATTTGAGTTGATAATTTTTCTAGGAATCAATAATTTATAAACAGTAGGTATTAAATTTAAAATTTTAAGGGGAACATTTTATAAAGTACATTTGTGATACAAATTTGAAAACTCTTCTATAAGTAAAACAGATTTTTTTTATTGTAATTAAAATTAGTAATACGTACTCTAGCATGCTTTTCTATGTTAAATATAAAACAATTTTATAACAATGATTATGAAAATGAGAGTTAAAATTATATTTGTATATAATTTTTGTTTTAAATTAAATGAAAATTTGCTATTTTTTTTAAGAATTAAGGAAAGAAATTTACTTCAGTATAATAAATATAGTATGTGATTATATTGTAACATGTCTTTATTTGGTAATACTATTTTAAGAGCTCAATATTTTAGTTTCATTATAAATGAAAATTTTATGCAAAAAAATTTCAGTATGGTTTTTAACTAGCTGTTAATATTTTCTAGTTCTTAAACTGATTTTTTTTTTCGTCTTTGTTTTAGGTCATTTTTAAAGTTATTATTTCTTCTGTTCACAATAGTAATTGTCTTTGAATGGATTGAATATTCTTTGGCACCAATTTTGATTTGGTCACAGTTATTTAGATTTCCTGATTCTGTTAGAATATTGGTCGTTGGTGATCCTCAACTTTTAGGCTACAGTTATACACCTTCTAGTTTATTAGGCTATGTGTTTAGATGGGATGCTGATCAGTAAGTTGAAAATATTTTCCATAATCCTAAAAATTTATTACGTGCATAATATTGTAAAATTGAAAAAAAAGTTATTTAAATTAATGCACTTACATTTTATTCAGTATATTATTTTATTATTCAACAATTTTAATATTCAGTATTTAGGAACAAAACTGGCATAAATCGATGTGAGGCTTACGTTAGAATTATCAAATTTCAAGTCATTTGAAAATTTGAACTTTTATAGTATCTTAACTATTAATAATGTTGATATTATAGTATTTAAAATAAATATTTATTTATTAAAAGTTTCTTTATTGGAGTAGTAAAATGCTTTTTAAAAGTTTCTTTTTTTTAATCAAATCTGTAACTTCAATAATATGATACATATTTATTGATCTATAGTAAATTCCTGATTTCAGTCTACTTTAAGGACAATCTTAAGTGTATACAAATTGCTATGCTATTGTGTTTTGTTCATAGGACACTTTCTAACTTACCCATATTAAATTTTGTTCCAAAATATTTTGCTTTCTTGAGATTTTATATGACAATATTTGTCAATATGACACACACACACAAATATATATATATTGTAAGATTTTGTTATACAATGTTAGGATGTGCTATGTTTCTTTTATATTTTTGTCAGTGCTAAAATTTTTTTTTAAATTTTGGTCTTTGAGATTCAGTACCACAATATTTTTTTTCAATGTGTCTGATATATATATCAACGTCNCCACACAATTGTTATATATATATATATATATATATATTTTAAATCTGAGGTTTTGTCTTACAGTGCTAAGTTATAATTTCTTTTGAAACTTTTTGTCATTGCTGAATTCTTTTTTAAAATTTTGCTCTATTGAGATTTTATGCTACAATATTTTGTCAATGTGTCAGATATCTTTTTATGAGACATTTTGTCTCCCTAAGCTGTTGTTTTACAATTTTTGAATGAGCTATGTTTCTTTTATGTTTTTTTCAAAGCTAAAATCTTGCTTATTGTTAGAAAAAGCTGAATTTACAAATGAAGAGTTGTTTCAAAACTAAACATGTGTATTTAAACAAATGATAATTTATTGACAATTTTGTGGATTATTTGCACCCAACTCATTTCCATGGATAATTTGCAGTTAAGCGTAATTTGTTTTAGAAAAATCAAAAAAAAAATTTTTTTACTTAAATTTGAAATAATTCTACTTATGAGAATTTTTGTTTACTTTTGGTTGTAATAATAAAAAAATTTATAAGAAAATATTTCCTCCATTATAAAATAATTGATTGTGTTGCATTACATTTTTTTTTCACTTGCTTTGTAAAAAATTTATAGAAGCTTTGAATTTGTTACATTTTGTGTTATTAAATTTTTCTTAAATTAATTATTGTGCTTTTGTTAAACAATTTGGACAATTTTTTGATTATTTAAACAAATATTTTTGACAGTTATTTTGGTATTACCTCAAAATCCTCTCATACTTAATCTCTAATTCACGATCTATCACGGGTATAATTTATATCAGCATTGTGGTTGGTGTGGGCAAAATATACAATTAATCAGCCAATGCTCATGTTATTAAAGTGCTTGCCAGAAGACTGGAAATTTATCCTGGAAATACTAACCACCTAAAAATGCCTCCTGGACTTACAGATGTAAATAATAATAAATCATTAAACTGGAAAGATTTATACTTAATTTTTACATTTATATATATTCTGCAACCACAATACTCATGTTTTTATTTCTTTTTGATATTCTAGAACAATATTGCTTTGATTTTGATTTTCTTATTGTCTATAATATTTAAACTATTTTAGGTATGTAAAGAAGACATTTTCTACTGCCTACAAATATTTCAATCCAAATCTTACAATATTTCTTGGGGACAATTTTGATGAAGGGGAAATAGCCTCTGATGTTGAATTTGTGGAATATTTTCAAAGATTCCAAAATGTTTTTTCAGAAGCTGATTTTAAAAAGGTGTATATTTATTGTTAAACTCATTTAATTCTCTTTTTTTTTTCAATCTTGCTCAAATCATTAGAGTATATCTTTTTTATTCCTTAAGTAGATTTTTCTTGTGAAACTCTATTTTATAAATCAAATATTATAGTACTGTAGAACTTCTATCCATTATCTCTGCATGTTTTTTTATCATTTGTATCATCTTGTTTAAATGGTGCCACCACAAATCCTATTAGTATAATGTTAATAGTAACCATTTAGATCGTTTTTTAAACTGCAAAATTCCTGTGACTATTGTGCAGAAATTCTAATAAATTTTTTAACAAAAGTGAGGTTATTTCGCTTTGAGAAGTAAAGCAGTAACTTCTAACATTTAGTAATGGTTAAGAAAATGAGGATCTATTACATTTAAGGGAAAGCACCTCAATTATGTATGATTGAAGCTTCAATTGATGAAATACAACAATTGAGGTATTATGCATTAATTGATGAAAATTTTGGAACTTGTGGTGTTGTCAGTTCAAGAAATGGTTGCTGAAAAGCTTAGTGTCACCAATTAATATAACAAAACAAAACCTCGACTAATACTGACATTTGTGGTAGGTAATCTAAGCCTTTAAATTAGTGAAGAATCAAATAAATAAATGCCTTTATCCATCTTTCTTTTTCATCATAAATATCTATACATTAAGTAAATAACATTTTCAAAATAATTTTTTTTATATTTATTTTAAATTTATTAATATCAATTTCATTACTTGATTAGTTTTCATACATTTTCAAGCCATTATGCTGACTCCCGTTTTTGATTTTCCTGTATCTTTCATTCATAAGGAATTGTTTCTTTAGAAATACGTAATCAAGGTTCTATTATATTAATAATAGACAATTTCTTAAAAAAAAAACTAACTTTTTCTGTTTATTGGAGTTAATTGTATAAAGATAGATGTAAATAATATAGTAAAATTTAATCAAATATTACAGTTTGTGAAAGGTCACATTATATTATTTATAAAATTAGTTTGTACCTATGCAATTTTTAGTTTAATTAGTGCAAAGCAAAATTTGAAATATGCAATTTTATAAAAAAAATTACAGCAATATTGCTCATATTAATCGTTTATGAACCTGCAATATGTAAATGGAAAAATGTAATTTACATAGAAATTGTATTTTTTTAAATATTTTTTTTCTTTCAATATTATATGAAAACACTATTATTGTTTGTATAGCTAAATATATTATTAGATGTAGATACGTAATTACATATAATAGAAAATATGTAACTATATTGTGAAACGAAATGCTAGTATTGCTATAATTACAATATTTAAGAATATCATATGCAGCTGTGTGTTCACTTCTGAAACCATTGGTCAGAAACAAACCTTATAACATTACTGGATTTTTCTTTCACATGATATATTTAACTTAAAGAGAAACACCTGAAAATTCATTCCCCTCTCGGAAGACCTTATTCATTAATTTTTTTCAACGAGTTTCAATGTGATAAAGTAAATTTATTTAAGTGTGTAATGTTTAAATTGTTTAAATTATATTGAAATTCTTTATTTTGTAGCATTGCTTTCTGTCATTGTTAACATTATTTTTTATTTGATTGTATTTGAAGGCCATTATAATTCCTGGTGACAATGATATTGGTGGGGAGTTTCAACCTCCTCAGAAGGAATTTGAAAGAAGATTTGATATGCATTTTCGGGATGATATAATTANTATTTAAGTGTGTAATGTTACATTTTAAAGTAAAATTAAGTATATTGCTTGGTGTGCATGTTTCTTAAAATGCGTTTTGTTTAAATTATATTGAAATTCTTTATTTTGTAGCATTGCTTTCTGTCATTGTTAACATTATTTTTTATTTGATTGTATTTGAAGGCCATTATAATTCCTGGTGACAATGATATTGGTGGGGAGTTTCAACCTCCTCAGAAGGAATTTGAAAGAAGATTTGATATGCATTTTCGGGATGATATAATTATGAGATATGAATTTCTTGAATTTGTAAAAGTAAGATGTGTTTCCTTTGTCTTATCTGTTTCAATAATAAACAGAGGTTATATAGGAGGTTAAATAGTTGAGATTATGCAAGTTATTTTTTTGTTTTTTTGACCCAACTAAATGAGCATGGCATGTTGCAAGAAGTCTGCATTTACAACAGTTTTTCAAATCGCCTTCAAAATGCTAGTATTAAATGTTAAAAAAACACATTTAAATTTCTTTTGCTATGATGACAGTTTTTTTATTTATTTATTTTGAGGGAAATGCTTTTTCTGCCATCAAAATGAAAAATACTGTAACAAAAAGAATGAAATAAAAATAATATTATTTATTTATTTTGTGGTAAATACATTTTCAAAGATACATTTTCATACATACAAAGTGAAAAATATTGTAAGAAGAAGAAAAATGGAAAGTATTATTATTTATTTTATTATCAAAGCAGGAAAGTGAAAACGAACATCATTTCATTTTATTTCTTTCCAACAATTATAACCCTTTATGTTTATAAAGCAACATGTGTGATGGACCAGTGGTAAGTTATCTTTCCTGTTACAAAAGGTAATTTTTTCTATTTTTAATTAACCTGCCATACACTTAAAAAAAATGCTCGGTTTCGTTTACCACATATCTATCAAACATTTTATTTACTTTTTTGACAAAATTTCTATTTTACTATTGAATCAGATGCTAGTTTACCATTCAAAATAATATTCAAAGCTATTGCCCTTCATTGGATTTTATAGTTTTTTATGCTGTTATTTAAACATTAAATGTATGTGTATTTACTTGTTTTGTTTTACTATTGTGAATTATCACTATAATGGGCTTTTACTATACTATTACTTTCCTTTCATTAGCATTATAGTGTTGTTTTTTTTTAAATGAAATATTTACTTAAATAGAGCACTCCAAAAAATTTAATTTAAAAAATCTGATTGAATTTCATAATTTTTTTAAAAAAGTATTGGTTGATCCTTTTTTTATTTATTAGTTTTTATAGCTCTATTTGTTTTTTAAACATATCACTATACTCATTAAGATTTCTGTGTGATAAAATTGATATGTTTATATCAGAATTGCTTAAATAGAATTTTTATACTAAAGAATTAAGAATTGCATTTGTCTTGTAACAAAACCTTGTATTTATCACTGAAAATTATTCCACTTAAATTAGATGTTTGTTTTATTAGATGATGCTTTATTACTATTGCACATTAAATTAAAAGGTCTTTTATGTTTATGAAGAAAATGGCGTCATTGAATACTTAAATTTCGTTTTATTGTAACAGTGCATTTTTTCTTTTTTAGGTAAACTACATTACTCATTCAAATGATTACCAAGTGGCTAGTAATGAATCTCTGGATGCATTTAGGATAGTTTTATCCCATTTTCCATTAACTCCATCATACAGTTCATTTATTAGTAAGGTAAAATTTGTTTAGTTTGTTATTTATGTAACTGTTTTAATTTTGAAGTTCTATTTAGATGTAAAGCTATTTTCTTAACATACCTAATTAAATAATTATTGTTACAATGTTGAAGAAGTTTTAAACAACTTATTTTTTTATTTTATAAAAGTTCATTAAAATACATTAATAATTAATAAAAAAATGCGAACAGTTTAAATAAACTGTACTCTAAACTAATTATCATTCAGCTATCATCATTTCTTAGATATTTTTAAAATCTTTTATTTTCTATAGATATTAAGTAAAAATAGCATTATAATGGAAAATAGTAGTTAGAAATAGCATTTTGTACGTGTTTAATTATAAATATTAAAAAAAGTAGTTGAAATCAATTTAGATCCTTGATTCATTTGCATTTTCCTTGACAAAAAATATCTGTTTTAGACAAAGAGTAACTGAATTAGATACAGTCGAACTCGTTTATAACGAGCTCGGATTTAACGAGAACTCGGATTTACCGAGGGAAATGAGAATATTTGGTTGGATCAATGTTAAGTCTATGGAACAGAAGTCGCTTTTAACGAGCAAGACCCGGTTTTAGCGAGCAATATTTTTCTGTCTTGCAATCTTTTTTCTCATCTTTCTAGTCTTTCTGTCTTATCTTTTTTTCAAAATGATAAGAAATGCGCGCGAAATAAAAAAAAAACGCGAACTGAAACTTCAAAGTAAGCTAACAAACTACTATTTTAAATATGTAGATTAATGAAAAAAATAAATGTTTTGGTAAGAATCTTTTCCTTTATTTTTCTTTCCGTTTATTGCTTCTTTCCTTTAAGACTGTAGCGCAACTAGAAATTTTTTGCTGGTTGGGGGGGAGAGTTATCATTAAATTAAGAAAAGTATTTAATTAAATTAATTAAAGTAAGTAAGTATTAATGAAATTTTATGTAAACTCAATAATTTGACCTCTCAACCCCCCACCCCTCTTCTGGTTGCAAGCCTGCCTTAAGGACCCGTTTATTACGAGCACTCGGATTTAAGTACATGTTACGGTCCCTTTGTGCTCGTTATAAACGAGTTCGACTGTATTATTAATTACTCTTTTCATGCCCTTCAGCATATAGGACCTCAAGCTTATTTGACCCTGGCAAGGAATCTTCCTTTTTGCCATCTACATATGTCAACCAGCTTAAGCACATTAAAAATCATTCTTTGGTACACTAATTTGGATCTCCCTCTTGGTCTTTTTCCATTAGGAGCCCATTTAAGTCTGACAAGTGTTATCATGTTACTGAGTATTCGTAAAATGTGCCCAAACCAGTTAAATCTTTGCTTCGAAATTTCATATTCAATTTTTTTCTGACTCTGACTCTTTTAGAAAGATTTTCATTGGATATTTTGATGAGCCAAAACATTTTAAATATGTACCTTATGCACTTATTTTAAAAGTTGTACAAAAAAAGTTTTCTATGTTTAGTTTGTTTTCTGGTCTCAGCATCATGTGAAAGAATTTTGCATGCTATAGCTTTGCATAGTGAAATCTTTATTTTTTAATTTGAATTATTAGATATTACTTCATATTTAATCAATAAAACATATAATAGTTCTAAACCTTTTTGTTTTCATTATGCCTTGTATATTGCTAAAAGAAGACAGCTATAATTATTCTTAGATGTGAATTTTTTAATTTTTATAAATTTTTTTTATTTCTTTATAAGCTGTTTGGTGACTTATTTTCATTAAACTAGTACATTAAAATTCTTTGTATAATTGATTGTGATAGTAGAAAGTTATTTGTTTATATTCTTGCGTTAAGCCCCAATATTTTTTGCACTTAATGAAACACGAATAAAATTAATGCCCGAAAGCATGCTTTTTTTTAATTGTTCTACTTTATGCAAAATATCAATGTACATATTTGAGCGATTTTTGGAACTAACATTATACTTTTGTTACATTTGAACTTAAATGATGCTACAATATCTGCAATTGTATTAAGTTTGAATATTAAGACTAAAAAAAAAGAACTTTTTAACATTTTAAGACTGTTTGCTTTATAATTTGGTAGGACAATTGCATAAAATTTAAAAAAATTTCTTTTTTATTAGGTGATTCCATATCTTCAACCACATATCATTATTTCTGCTCATGATCACAAGGTAATGGAAAATTTAATTAATTTTAGATGTAATATTTTTTTTTTTAATTTTCTTCAGCTGATGTCCAACGATTAGTGAAAGTTATCTCAAATTGTTCAACTAGTTAATTGAATACTTATATAAACCAGTCTGGAAATTGCATTTTGAGACTCATGATTTTAAAATTCTAAGTATAGCATTTTTTCAACATTTTATTATCATAACTGGGGTGATATGATGCTCTAATTGCTTCAAAATTTTTATCAAGTTGTTTTAAAGTGTGCAAAAAGTAATAATAATGATTGATGTTGTTAAAAAGTAATTCTAACTTCCTTAAATATGCATGAAGTTGCAACCCTTCCAGTACAATGTATCCAGTCTGTTAACACTAATTCAACAACTATTACAAATCACTCACTAGAAATGTAGAAATAATTGCTTTTAAACATAAAACAACCACCACTCTTTAAACAACAAAGAACTAAAGTATGTCACTTCAGTTAGAACTTTAGGTTTTTTAATCTTTTTCATTTATACTTTGTCAGCAATTAATTCTTTTCTGAACTTTCAAAATTGATAATGTATAACTAATGAAACATTTGGGGAAATGGATCTATACCAAACTGATAAGAAAATAGTTTAAAGATAATGCAAATCCTGTCATGTAAGGGAGTTTTACTATTCTTTGGTTGGTAAATTTATAAGGATACCATGCCTCCTGAAGTGCAATAAGAATACAATAATTAATTGTGTAACTAACCTTTTTTTAAACCAGAAAAGTTAAAAATGAGGGAGGTACTGTGCAAGGAAATTTCTTAGTCCTTTGTGTTGACAAACATGTGAAGATGCTGGCAAACGAATATTTGATGAGCAGCAAAAAAATTTTATACAATATTTCATGCAAAGATTCTGTTCGTTTCACTGAAAATATTAACATAGTTTTTAATTGAAGTAAAAAAAATTTCAGCTTTTTTATACGCTTTTATTTCGTTATTTGTATGATGGTCATGGTCACAAATGCAAATGCAAGTTGTGTTCCCCCATAATTTTTAAAACTTCCCTCAAATCTCTCAAATTTTGGCCTTGTTTTCTCCGATAAACTTGCAATCTTTGCTATAGTTCACTCATAAAAGGGTTTAGGTTAACTTTAAATATTACTTCATATATTCAGTGAAATTTTAAAACATGACCTAATAGTATGTTTTTTCTTGTCAACTTTTGAAGAGTTTAGAATAGCATTTATTAATAACCCTTGATAAATTTTACTGATTTCAACAGTCAATGTGCACAATAGGCAAGTGGTATTGTTACTAAAGTTTTGGTTCCTTTTATTATATAGGATAAATCTGGTTCTTGATAATATAGGTGAACATAGACAGGTGGTTAACTTGCCTAGTTTTACTGTAACTGTGCAATTCATAAATCTATTTTTGAGTTTAACTTAAATGGGTAAAAAAGGTTGTAGTATCATTCAAATGCTTAAAACTACCTGTTATTTATGAAAATTTAAATAAATGAAGTGCTAAGCAATTTGTGGAAAATTTATGTCAAAAACTGAGAAGTTTTTTAAAAAAGGCGCTTGATATTAAATAGTTTAAAAAAAAGGTACGAAAATGCTACTGTTAATTTAATTGTCAATAACTATCTTTTAGTATTATTTTACTATCTTTTATTCAAATTTATTTATAATGTTTTAATGTATGTATCTGTTCTCCATGAAGGCAAAATTTCTCCCAATACTTGATCCAGAAGTTCCCTTGTCTTCTGGATTTGATTCAAAATTACAGAGTTGAACATCAGTAGTTGTAAACCCAAAATTGGGTTGGCTGTTTAACGACTGTTTTAAAATGAAATAGATGTATCTATTATTTTCTGTAATTTCCAGATTTAACTTCTACATGTTTGTAATTCGTCTTTCTTCCATCATATTTTAGTCTGAACATGTAATATCCAACAGAAAAACTGGGATTATTGTGAGAACTTCCTCTTCCTTAGATTTTACTTCCTGTACTCTCAATATTTCAGAAGAACTTATTCATGAAATAATAGTCCCAACTTGTTCCTACAGAATGGGTACTTCGAAAATGGGATATGGTGCTTTAGAAATAAGTAAGTATTGCTCGGCGTAAAAAAAGACTATATTTATATTTCTTTTTTTTTTAAGATAATGTATAATATATATTTTATTGTGAGTACTTGTATTGCTTATTTCATTGAATTTTTAGAATAAATTTGTTTCTTTCAAAGACATATAATGCCATAGGTCATACCTACTTTCAAAAGTATTTCATGCTATTATTTAATCTGTAGGTCTGACCAATTTAACCTAAGTGCAGTGAGGATTAAAATTTAACTTTTCATAAACTATTCTAACTTTAATCAGACCAAGAGCTAGATAGATTATAAGTTGTTAAAAATTGGTGTGCCATCACAAGAGTTGTATTTTCTAAGTATACAGTTTTTTAAAATAACTAAATTTTCAATAAATTCTGTTCTGCAGGTATAGAATAATGTGATGAAAGAGTTGTCTGGCCAAATTTTAAATTAATCCTTATTATTTTATTTTATTATAAACCTTTGGACTGTCATTTATGAAATGGTTCTAAAACATATTGTGAAGTAACCAGGTGACAGACAACAGATGTTTATTTATTTTATACTACAAATGAAATAATTATAAAGTATATTAATGTTACTGTTTTTTAACCTAAGTTAGCTCTTGCACTCGAATTTATACACTATGTTTCAAAAGGAATTTGTGAGATATAGAATAAGTCTTAAAAATAATATTTTTTGCAACAATTAAACTCAGAATACAAGAGGAAAAAAAATTCAGTAGATTCGAATTTTTTTTTTATCCTTCATTAAGTTTTCTCTCCTAATGTATGTGGAATTTCAAACTTGCTCACAAAAAATGTTTAAGGTGCCTGTATGATGTGGGAATGAACACAAAATTTAAAGCAGAACACTTAATTTTTGGGAGTATTTATTTATTGTTCTTTTGCAATATTTTTAACGAATTTCTGAGCAAAAGAAAAAGGAAGCAATATTTTTTGGCACAAATAACTTGATAAAAATATTCAACATAGCTTTCATAATTTTTAAATCCTAAATATTTCTCTAAATATAAGTTAACACTTAACTTTGAATATAATAATTACTTTAAATAAGTAAGGTTGGTGTTAAAAATAAGTAAGAAGCTTTAATTTAGAAGTTTTGAAGTTTTTCTTTTAATTTTACCAGATAATGCCAGATAATGATACCTCATACATGCACACCATGTTAACTCTGAATTTTTAATTTTTTTTGTTTTTGTTTCTCTTCGTAAAGTTTTAACTCTCGGCTAATCACAAGCTGTTAATTATTTGTTGTAACTCCTTTACTACATTTAGATTCAGAAACTCTAAGAACAGTTATTTTAATCTACAAAAAATCCATTAAAATATTTAAAAAATTTTAACCGTTTGATGTTATTGGTGAAACTTGGAAGAATATGACTTTTGTCAATACTTTTATGTATGTTAAAGTGATAATTTTTCATTAGTTGTTGTTTTTTTTTTTTTTTTTTTTTTTTTTTTTTTTTTTTTTTTTTTTTTTTTTNTTTTTTTTTTTTTTTTTTTGCTAATTTATTTTAGGTAAATCTGGCGAAGTCAAGTATACCGTCCTCTGGCTACCCTCTCGTTTTCGACAATTATTCATTTATTTATTCATATTGTGTTGTTGTTTATTTTACGCAGTGTTTGTATTTTGGAAGAAAATTGTTGGGCGTAAACCCAATTTCAGCAGGCAGAAAAAAAGTTCAATCTTACCCTGGTGATATTTTAAAACTCTAGTACTATTATAATTGAGAAATATTTTTAAATGCTGAAAAAGAGTGAGAAAAATTGTCATTTGTGAATTGAATAATCTGTGATATATGAATTTTTTGTCAAAATTGGAATGAATTTTTCTAATAAACAGAATCTATTTTTCTTTCAAAGAAAAAAAAGGGCATTATTACTAAAAAAGCAATAATCTTAATCAGATCTCTTAAATGGATTATTCTATTAAGAAACTTGATTAAACTACTTAAAAAAAATTTGATTCTCTCTCTTTGCGGGCTTCATATGAATACTAAACTGGTGATTGATTTTTTCATATGCCTGCATATGAAAATGACTAAAAAATTTTGAACGAAAAATTAATTAATTAATTAAAAATTAGAAAAAATAATGATGAAAAGATTTTATCTTATCAACTGCTCACAGGATTTTATATGCAAAAATAGTGCTTTTTAATACTATGTTAATATAGCCGAAGCAAAATATATCAATACAATACAAGTGTGAGTTAGTTACAATAGCTTTTTTTCCCCTTGTCTTTATACTTTTTTTCTTCTTCTATTTCTTTCCTTGTTTTCTTTGCATTTTTGGCTTATATTGGATTCTATTTACTTACAGCTTTTGTGCAGCTAATAAACTTATTTAATCTTAATTTTTACTTGAAATTGTCTCTTTTTTTTTCTTTCTTTGTTGACACTTACATATATATATATATGTAAAAAACAGAAAATAAATACAAAAAGAAAAAAAATGAAGAAAATCAATAAGTTTTATTTACTGCGCTTACAATAAACAGAGAAAAATAACATAATAAAAAAAGAAAAGAAAAATTTTTTTTAAAAAAAATAATAAAAATCAGGAGAAAAAAAAGATATAATCGATATGATATATATTTGCGGATATAATCATGTGAGTTGATGAAAAGATTAAATCTTTTTTTTTCCCTGATTTTTATTATTTATTTTTTTTTAAATAATTTTCTTCTTTTCATATTTCATTATTCTGTAATTTTTTCCATGTTTTCTCTACATTTTGAACTTGTATATGTGTGTGTGTATATGCGTTTGTAACATTCAATATCAGTGATTGGTTATTAATAATAATGAAGTTGGTAAATATTAAAAAATTCAACACTTAGCTTTATTCTAAGAGATTAATTTTCCTAACACTTTCTTATAGTGATCTTTTTGTGAAATTAAGGCTGTTTCCCAATAATCTCTACTAATGTTTTTCATAAGGTTATGGATTGTTACCTTGTATTCCTCATGCACTATTCTTATGTTGTTGTTTTTTTTAATAATAAGAAGAAGAATGCTTACTATTATTAAAAAAAAGCTTTCTTGGAATGTCACTTGGGACAGGAACTAGGTACAAATGTGATTATTAAGAATAACAGATGATTATAGATAACTTATTATTCAGATAGTTTGTGAGAATTTATCACATTAACCTGTTATTATAAATAATACATGCATTTTTATCACATTAACTAAAATAGATAGTAATTATTAATATTTTCTAATTATTATTATTTATAACCAAATTTATTATTTTGATTTTAATGTGTAAAAAATTTTCTTTTAAATTCCCAAACTGTTTATTTAAATGAATATGTCTATTTCATACATTTTTAAAATCTGTATATCAATGCATACATTTTTGAAATCTGTATAGAAATTATTTTATATCGTCGAACTTTTTAGTGTTGTTTTCTATATTTTACATTTATGTACAAAAATATCCGAGTATACTACTCTATATCTGTTGTGTCTCATGTATTTATTATTTTCTCATATATTTCTAATAACCACTGTGTAACATGCCTCAATCTTGCACCTACTTATTGTATATTGCACTGGTTCTCAATGCGTAGGCCAAAACCCATATATATATANGTGATCTTATATATATAAAACTAACAAGTATCCAATTAATGACATGTAATTTGCTTGCAAAAATTTTTTTGGCTACAAATATTATTTCTATCAGTCTGCTATTAAATGCTTACACTTCAATACTTTGTTTAGAATATAGTATGATGTCATCATATAACATAAGATTTTTTTGGTCCAAAGTGATGAAAGTTTTATCTGCTTTTAGGCAAAATTTTATAACACACTATTTTTTTATCATTTTATAGGTTGCAGTTAATTTGCAAATTGATGGCTTAATCATCATTATGAGCTTGACATTAGATCCTTAGAAATGTGGCTCAGTAACATTTTTCAATTGAAATGCTCGAAGTGACTAGCCACAAATGTTTCGAGAGTGACACTTTTTACATGAAACTGTTCCATAGCATTTTTTCCAGTTATGTACCTATAAAATTTATGGAATTTCTACAAGGAAACAGCACACTATACAGAAATATCTTGTTGTGTACAGTGTGCAGAAAAAAGGAATATCCTGAATAACTTCAGTTCTAACGATAGGATTTTCATATACTAAGATTCAATATTGATAGTTTCTGGGTCTAGCCTTAAATAGGCTATTTAATTTGTGCAAATGATATACAAAATCAGTCTTAAAACGTACTTTCTTTGAATACCTTTTTTATGACGGATGCAGTTTTTTAACCCTCAAAATGTGAGAGCTATATGGAAAGTATGGTTCCAATAGTCGGGTCAAGAAAGCGTTGATTTTATGATCCTCTAATAATGATTTTACTTTTTACATATTTCACCATATCTAGAACTTTTTAAACAAATAGAAAATTTTTAAACTTAATTATAAAATCCAAATATTCTAAGATAGTTCTATGCAAAAAAAAAATTTTTTTTAAATTCTTTATCATTATTTTATTTAATAGTAGTCAAAAACATTTTGGAATAGTAAGGTATACAAATTTTAAAGAAAATAGTTTTAAATGATTAAATACAATAACAGTTCTTGAGAAGCAAAATTTTAAATTTTTTTAAAGTTTAATAACCGAGAAACTATTCGATCGATTTTATTCAAATTTTGTGTGTTCGCTTCTATTTTTAAGTGAATGCATAGTTAGTATCAAAGTAAAACAATAAAATGATGACATTTTTCCAAACTCAAGGTGATTTTAAAGTTTTGCATTTTCATCATCAAATCCACAGCACAAAGTTATTTTCTAAATTTCTGTTATAACTTCTATGTCTTCCCGAATACATATCTTTTTTAGATTAACTACAACTCAATTTTTTCAATTGAATCAGTCTCTTTCTTTTTTCTTCTTTTTTCTTTTTTTTAGTTTTATTGAAATAGTATTGTCAGTACTAAATTTGTATTTAAAGAATTAGGATTTTTTATCAATATTATCTAAAAAGATCTTGTTTTATACTTGAATACCAATGTATTTGTAACATAATAGTTTTTAATGAATATGACACTATTTTTTATCACACATTTGAATGCATCTAATATTACTGATACCAAAAAGAATTTCTAGTCTTTAATTTTATTGCACCATTCTGTTAAAGAGACTTAAATATTTGTAAAGTGATTTATTATTTTATATGCAAAGCAAAGTATTTGTTTCAGTATACAATAAGTCACATAGACAACTAGTGTTAAATGATCATTTTATAAATGCATAGTATCATGTAAAAAAAAATTATAAAGTTGATCGTATGTTTTATTATTATTATTAGAAATGGCAAAGCCATAAAAACAAATCATGTAATGCGTTAAGATGGAATGGATGGATTTTTGTATATGCTAAAATTTGGTTTTACTGTTTTTTACCTTCTAGAAACTGGAGAATTAATAAATTTATTTATGAGACAAAAATTTGTATCATTGCTTTAAATTAATTTAAAATATCTCACTTATAGAACCGTTGCCAAACTTAACGGGGACCTTTTACCCCTTCAGGAACATGATCGCAGATATGTGACCACCGTAGGTGCCACTCTGCAGTTCTGATGGACTGAAATCAGTCTGAGAAAAACCCGTGGACTGAATTCCAGACTATTAATCTATCTTTCTAATTTGTTTTTTAAATTAATTTTTCAGAAAAAAAGCATTACTTTTTAATGAAAACATTATTATTTTTCATAACTATTGCAAAATGATCAAATAATGATGTCACATTGCAATGAAAGAATGGAAATGATTTAATTTCAACATCTTCTCACATTAAACACACTGCTTGAAGTTTCTCCGATGTTTGGAAATTCTGGTCAATGTTAAATTGATTTTATTTTTAAAAAAAAATTCTAGTGAAGAACTCCAAGAAAAAATTTGTGATTTATTATTTAGCAATTGGTGTAAAAACATATACGAAGTAGCTTTTATTTCTGTTTTTGAAAAACTAAACAAGTCATTAATATAATATATGGTCCATTACTTTTTGCAGTCATTTAGCAAAAAATTTCTGAAAATTAGTCTAGACTGTGTTAATTAGTCAAAAAATAAGTTCAGTCTTAAAATAATTTTTAGAGTGGTACCCATAGTGACTACGCAATTCTCCCTTCGTAGCCCCTGTAGTGGGTCTACCATTGCAAAAATACAATTCCAATTAACTAGTATATAAGACACATTAACTCGATTTTATCTTGAGGTACCTTTAGATAGATGAAAGTTGACATTGTTGATAACTTCTCACCTCACATTGGTGACCTTCGGGTGTGACGTGAACATTAATAAACCTTAACCTTGATAGGAACTCCCATTTCGGTTTGAACACGCCTACTTCTATGGATGGTCCTCATTGAACAATTGACTTGCTACTTGTGATATCGACATATCCACCTCCTCGCGCTGTTTCTAGTCAGTCTCGATCACACACAGGGCCTGATTATCGCCTAGGCCCAATAGGCACGGGCCTAGGGCCCACACTTTTTGTCCATAATATTACATTAAAAAAATACTGAAGTAAACAGTTTATCTTAAAAAAGACTTATTTAAAGTTTTCTTAATATTGTGATAAACCAAACTCGTGTAAACATTGCAACTAATCAATTTCGAAAGTACAGCTGCATTTCAATTGGGGCAATTTTTACTCCAACGGCTCAAGCAAATGCAACGAGAATGCATATTCCCAGTCTTTTATAAATGATTGGTGTCAACAAGAACTTACAAATATGTAAAGCTGTAGATGGAAGGCTGCAATCTTTAATACCGTCATCCGGNTAAAGTTTGAATTAACATAGTTTTTTTACATGTCAAAGTTCAAAAACGGCGAAATCCTGCACAAAGTAGCCGAATGACGGTATTTAAGCTAATCAGTGACTTTAGCAAAAATCACTGATTTCAATTGTTTGTGGTCACCAAACTATTTTTATTTTCAATCAACATTGTTTTGTTGTTTTATATTTTGCTTTAATAATTATACGTTTAAACTTTATCTTAGAAAAGTAATCTTCAATTATCTAGTTTCAAACTTTTTTAGACTGTTTCTCTTGAATCATGCAGTTCAATAGATTATTTTTATAGTTAGGACTACTCTTCAGAAATGTAATTTCAAAATATTTTGTTAAAGGCCCCGAAAATTTTGTGGGCCTTGGGCCTGAATTTGTCTTGATCGGTCCCTGATCACACACAATGTCGGCCTGTATACACTCGACTGCTAATGGCAACGGCAACAGAAGAGCAACCACGACCGTGAACCTAATACAGCTCTCACGATCAGAATTTAAAAGCTCTGTGATCTTAATACAGCTCTCCCGGCTTCTCACAAAACAGCGATGAATCAACTATAGTGGTATCCGTTCATCGAATTCTATCACAGATATAATTCTGATGGGGGAGTACTGTAGTGCATCTACTACTACAAAAATACAATTTCAATTCACTACTAAATAAGACGTGTTAACTCGATTCTATGTTGTGGTACCTTTTCATAGATGAATGTTGACATTATTGATAACTATTATCTCCACAGCCCTTCTGCATTATATATGAAATGAGCTTATTCTAAATCTAGCGGCCCGAGATCAAACGGACGTGATCTCAATACGGTACTCTCCTATTATATCGTATATTAGTAAGCAATAAACGCGGATTTTGCGAATAATAAATTCGGATTTTGCGCGTTTCTTTCTCCATACAATGGAGGAATTAGATACTTACATTCTTCTTCTGCTATACCCTAGTATTGGCATACATTACCTTACTCGATATTCCTTATTTGAAAGATATTTTATCGACTACTAATAGGTTTATGAATAGAAGCGAGCTATCAAATTTGCACAGCTGATGACAGCAGAGAAAATAAATAAAAATGCTTCTAGCCATTTGCAGATAAATACGATGTCTGATTTATATATTTTATTAGTTTTAAAAACATTATTATGTGTAGCTCATTGCATCTTAAAATTATTCCGTAATGCATATTAAGACTATACCTAATTCAGTGCTTCTTAACTGAAATTTTTTTTTAATTTTGCTTTATTATATAGCCTGGTCTTCTACAACCAGAACATTTTTTTAATTAGTTTGGTAATTGGCAGAATGTTATTATATTTCATATATAAAATATACTTATGCATAGTACATAGTATCTAATCAGTAATTGATTTTTTATCTGCTCTATTCAAAATTCTGGGCCGAATGGGTTTATAATTTAGGAAGATTAAATTTCATTAAAATTAATGATTCAATTAAAATTAATACGTGATTAAGAAAATTTATAATGTATATTAGAAACTTACCATTTTTCGATATTTTTCTTTAAATTTTATACTATCGTCTCACTTTTATAATTTTTTAAACAACATTAATTGCTCTTAAAAGTCAAAAATTTCGCATTCGAGGACTCCCCTCAAGCAATCATTTGAAAATGTTAAGATAAATCTCATTTTCTAAGTCCATAATTTTAATGTATGAAAAGCTTTTCTATGTTGCGTCCTAATTTGGAAACTACTGTCTTCTTTTCTAATTACATCTATGTGATGAAATAGTAATCAAATTTTTAATACTACAGGTAAAAAAAAATTTAAAAAAAAAGACAGAATTTTAATAAATAATGAAAAATATTCGAAAATATCACTAGTGAGAGGTCTCTGAAATCCCCAAGCAGGGACCTAGATAATTGCCCAGTTTGCCCCACTCCTTTTACATGTATGTATAATGTTAGAAAAAAATAATAATAAATAACAAGACATTAAAAGGAACAAATAGCGTTATGAGCAGTACCAGTTACTCATCTGTTCTAAGGAGTAACATCCGAATGAAGAGGCTGTTTTTCAAAGGTTCTGCAGTCGCATGAAAAGATGCTTTTTTGCGAATAATGTGTTGTTGTTTTTTTACATTGTTATTGTTGTATAGTTCATTTACGTCGCACTAGAGCTGCACAATGGGTTATTGGCGATGTTTTTTTTTTTTTTTCATAACTGATGTGAGTTTTCAACAGTTACTCATGACCGTTAGGTCAAGCTAAGCCTATCTTTAGCCAGCGCCCTCTATGTTTTTTTCTGAAAATAGGGTAAAACCTCAAATAGAGAAAAGCCACAGTTTGTAAAAATGAAAAGCATTTGTGGTCAAGTTTTTTAATATTTAAAAACTTACTCCAAGGCTGTATTACCTGGACTCAAAATTTACAAAAATTCAGAATAATGCAGTGATTTTGATTAATTTTCGTCGAGGGTAAAAAAATGTTGCCAAATGGGTGATTTTTAAAAAAGTTTAATAACTTTTAAAATATTTAAGTTCTTCGTCCGTTCAAAAGCCCAGATTATTCTCCACAGCAAGATGGCATCTCTGGTTTAAAATTATAGTTTGCTTTGCTTCAAGTTAAATTGTGGCTTTTTTTTTATTTTCCTTGGCGAAAGAGTTTCGAAAAGTCCATTCCAGCATTGTCAGTGGATCTTGGCAGAAGTAGAGAATGATTAGTCAGTAGAAGTGGTATTTTTCTTGGACACGCGGGTTGATGGGCTGAAGGTATGGGGTCCGAATCTGCGAGTGTAGCCTTTGGAAAAGCTCGATCTCTAATAGAGATCTTTATTAGGTGACCATGTTGCATTTTATTTTTACCTGAGCTAAAAAACCTGCAACTGCCATAAGTTTCTTCCTTTTTCTTTAATGAAAATATGCTTACAATGTACTTACTACCAGAGTAGATTAAAAACTGAAAGTTTAAAACAGAATGAAAAAAAATAATCACAACTTTTCCGATTTTTAGGGTGTATCTCCCTAAATAGCAATACCTAAATTCTATTTTAAGAGCAGCTCGCATTTAACACTTTGCGTATTAACGCTTTATTTATTTTTACTAGATAAACAACATTTGCATACAAAAGACGCAAATAAAGTGGATGATGACTTATTAGATATTACACAAGAACACAAGCGCCTAACGGAGAGATGAGTTAGTGGTTTGCTTATTCCTTTCAATAAGGGGAGGAAGATGAGTCATGATTGCGTAAAACATTAAAATGCCCTTAATTTCACTTTTTTAATGCAAAGAAAAAAAAATTTGCAAAAAATTAAACTTAGAAAATTTTGAGCTTCAATAAAACTTTGAATTCGGGAGAGATTAAGATCACAGAAAGTAAAAAAAGTTTCTTAAGAATATTCAACTTAAAGCTTTATGCGATGAATTAAAGCATAAGTTTTGTTTTAAGCGAAATTACATCTTATATTTGAAATTAATCATGAAGTTAAATCCAGTTAAAGTGAAATACTTGGGGATACTATTACGCGCAAACGTGGGAGTAGATTTGCGATTAGCTCATTTTTTGCAGACAAGAGGAGAATCATCATCCTTTGTGAGCTTTTATAAATAAGTTTTAATGAAGCCGAAAAGAAATGTTATAATGGCCTACATTAAATTTCCTTAAAAAAATTTATTCATATCTGCATGCCGAAAGGCAGCTAGTAGTTCGCATAACCCATACTGTAAAATTTAACAATTAAATTAACTGTAAAATTTAACAATTAAATCGCAAAATAGAATATAAATGTAAGTTCACTGTTTTCTACCCTGCCTTATCCAAGTTGATTATAAAAGAATTTGTAGTATTTTATATTCGGAAATTTATATATTATTACAATATAAAAACAAAAGATGCAGACAAAATTCACGTTTTTATTAATTCTATAAAGTTTTGAGTAGTTACGTAATTATTATTATTTTATAATTAACATCATAAATTTTTTAAAAAATTTTATTAATGTAAATGATTTTGTCATGGGCGTTGTACAGATGACTCGCACCAGATTTGTGGCGTTATTATTATTCAACTCCGCAATTTTAAACTCAACTCAAAAGATAAGGGTACTCTGTGATCTACCATTGAGACAAATTTCGTGGAGGACTTTTAGAATAAAATTAAACTCGCATTTGTGCTACACGGAGAGGTAAACCACAACACATCTATCACGCTTCACACCTTCCACTGTTAGCTCGACGGGAAGAAAATTCAGACCCGATTACCATTGATTTCGTCAGCACCGTGGTCGGTGCAAGTCAGGAACATTACACTAATCGATTACCCATTCCCGAGTTTCGAACCCGATGCACCCGAACCCATCCCGGTCAATTGTAATTGGTATCACTTTTCTCAACCAAAATGGCAGCGTTTTTTGTTGGAAAAATAATTTGAAAATACGCACAGGGCCGCGAAACACCACGGACTGTATGTCTAGTCTTCTAGATTTTTAGCATGTTCTTTTTTGTCCGAGCATCTTAGTTTGTAGTACACCTGCCTGCGCATAAAAATAAACTTTGTTTTAGCTCGAAGTATCAAAACTCTGAAATTGTAAATTAGGTAATGGGTTACGCAGAGTGGCCTGAAAAGTTGTTGACCAACGAAGAGAGAAGCGTAATCACTACAGGAAGCTTTTTAATTTTTAGAAAAGAAATTGGAAGGAAAAAAAAATCTTAATCTTGATTTCAAATTCCCTTTTTGCTGATGTAAGCGGAAATTATTCATTTGTATTTTTTAATTATTTCCCACAGATGCTCTTTTTTTTTTCTTGCAGGCAAAGAAAATTTCAATTTCAATAATCCAAAACTTAATTATTAAATTTGTTTGAAATTTATTTTTCATTAAATATTTCCGTTGAGAAAATTGCCAAAAGTAAAAAATTTAACTTCACAATAACATTAGTAATAGATTTAAGTTTGGTTCCATAAATCATTGATTTTATGTCTCCCTGCCCCCTTCTCCCACAGTCACTAATTATGCATTGTATTTATTAACAACTTTTTAATTCGTAATACGCCAGACCTTGATAATGAAATACTATTTTTAACGAAAGAAAGCAATAGTCGGAAATCAGGTGTTTCATCGGCTTCCTGCAGTGTGAATATTTTCACAACTGTGATGCAACGTTTTCATTTAAGACCATAAGTTTATTTTCTTCTTTTTATCATCAATGATATACGTTTTACATCCTGCATCTTTCGTTCACTCAAATGTTGCATGAGTCATCTCAGTCTTAATAACGAACGCCGGTAAGTCGCATTTTTATTTATTCTATTAAGAAAAATAATAACTTAAAGCTTTTTTTGAGTTTATGAATTTAGTATAACAGCTTTATTAAACACGGTGATTAAAAATGGGGAAAAAAATATCATATCCGGTCAGAGCGTATTTTGGTAGGTAAAAAATATCAATTGTAATTCAATTTCCTATTGTAAATACTCATTATTCATAGTCGTCATAAAGACAGGTATTTTGTTGTTTTTCGCATTACTCTGAATGCGTATTATTGTGTTTCACAGTAAGAAATATGTTTTTTTTTTCTGCTGTGAATCATTCTGGTTACATTTAGAAAAAAAAAAAAAACACTAATTTTTTTATACTGTAAAAAAATTTAGATCAAACTACGGTAAAAAGTACTGGCATTCAGGTTACCAGTATTTTTTACCATGAAATTCCTCGCAACAAAAAATCTGATACACCATAATTTTTATGCAGTAATATTTACTTAAAATCACGAAAATTAAATAAATATTACTGTAAAAATTACTGAATAAAATATTACAGTAAAATGGATTTTACGGATGCTGCACTCAAGGTCCCAGTACTTTTTACCGTTACTTGATCCAAAATTTTTACAGTGTAGATAGATGTAACTCGGGTTGCTATAGGACGAATATTCATGAATTTAGTCCCCTTGTCCGAAATAGATGCAAGAGGTGCCGAGTTCAGTCAATATTTCGCAAATATAGTCTAATTAATTGCCTATGTACAATAGCCCTGGTTTAATAAATTAAACCTATATATAAAAACTGGGGTACGATTTCAGTGGCACTCATCTTCCGATTGATGGGTACTTGTTTGGAAAGTAAAGGCGACCAGTGCTCAATGCTAACCACATTGACACAATCATTCCGTTGATCACGAAATTGTGGAACTTTAAACTCCTTGACCCCTGGCCCACAACAGGCTGTTGTTTACTTTTACTACAAAACACAACGCGAACGGGGTGGAGCCTCTTAAATCTTTCGGTTTGAATTTTTATGTTTAATTCATAAGTAACGTAATCTTCGAAGAAAAGAAAGAGGTTCAACTGCTTGCAATACATAACAAGGTCTAATTTGTTCACTTTTGAAAACTGAAAATCTTTACGCACGCTCCAGAACCGGCTTTTTTTTTATATTCACAGCAAAGATAATTCATTTAAAATAAACGGGGGAAATATTGACGTTTTGACTTTAAGCTGACTTTTATTTTTACGCCTAAGTTTGAAAAAACGCCCTAGTCAATATTAATATACTTAATATACTAGATCAGGGATGGGCAAACTACGGCCCGCGGGCCAACTGCGGCCCGCCGGAAGATTTTATCCGGCCCGCGGACAGAATTTTAACTTTTTACTTTCTCTATTTTTGTTCTACAAAACATAAATAAATTAAAATAGTTAGCATTAACAGCTTCAATTGATAAAATGTTGAAAGCAAAAGTCCCTTATAGAATAGCCGTAGATTAGCTCCAACTAGTATTTGTCTTTCTTGAGGAGCAGACATATGGAATCTAATATAGGTGAATTGTACTTCACATGAGGCTTACTACGCATTTTAAGTTCCAACGAGCGGATTTTTCTTCCGGCGTGAGTTCTAACATAATTTACTGCGTATGGAAAGGCTGCACGCATACAACGTCAATGTAAATAATGGTGAAATTATTAAATATATGAAATGGCTACTGCCTTTTTGAGTTATTTGTAAAGATTTTTAATCCCAAAATGGCAACCAAAAAATGCAAAGTTGATGTAGAGTGCCATGCGTTCAATGATGAATTGACTTTATTTTATTTCAGAAGTTAGAATTTTTATTTTAGAAGTTTTTACTAGGCCCACCAAACTTTTTTTTCCAGATTTTTGGCCCACGACCAAAAAAGTTTGCCCATCCCTGTACTAGATTTTACAATCGATAGCGTTCTTTCATTTTAACTTTAGCTTAATCCGTTTAATTTTATCAGAAAACGAGTTTCAAAGAACTAACAAACATTTATATTTTACACTTATATAGCTAAGAAAAGGATAAATACTCCAAACACGGCAAACCTTGCACTTTATTTATGCTATGATATTAGTTTTCTTAGATTTATTTCAGGTTCGCCTCCTCTTAGAATTTATAAATTACAGAAAACTCTTTCACTCTTCGAATGAATTATGAATAGTAATATTTCGCATACATTTAAACTCAAATCACATTAATGAAATTTCCTAGAATATCAAGCCTGTTCACGCATCGCCTCGTAGACGTAACATAAGTATCAGGCACGTAGCCAGGGGGGGGGGACCGTCGGGACAAATCCCCCCTGAAATTCTGGGATTCAAACTTTTTAGTCTTTCTTTGAGCCTCTCAGTAAAAAGAAAAACAAATACTGTGGAATCAAATCTTTTATTAACTAACTTTATTAAGCATATTTCGGGATATTCTGGTTTGTCCTAAAAAAGTAATCGAAAAATTTTCTTTAAATCCCCGTCGCATAACTTTGTAAACTTTGCTTACAAATTGATTATAAGTATTATGTAATATTTTTTAACTACTAGTTTAAGTTTTGCAAACAACAGAATAAACAATATTTGTTACAACGTTTTTCCCCTACTTTGCATGTCTGAAACTGTCCTTGCTTATTACCATATCCCCCCCCCCGAAAAAATATCCTGGCTACGGCCTTGATAAGTATAGGCATACGTCGTTCTTGTTTTAGGAAGCTTGTTATTGTTTACATTCAGTCACCCATCCATGGAAACAAGAGTAAAATCATCTCATTGGGGGAAAATTGAAGAAATACCATGACTTTCCTAACTTAAACCAACCAGAGCACGAATCTGGTTTTATGAAGAAGTACTTGTGATAGCCACACAATATATTTGTTCAAACCTATCTAAGTCTGTTATACAATTAAATCTAGATATTCTAATTTTGGTCCCTCTACGCATGTTAATGTAGGGCCATTGATGATTGTTGAGTTAATTTTCAGCCTGACTGCGACCTAATAAAATTGTTGCAAAGGCTTATAAAGCTAAACTCAATATTGTAAATAATTCTTAAAATGTAATCAAAAAGGATTTTTCTTCCAATAAACATAATTAACGGCTTTAGAAAGTTTAGTATAGATACCAGGTCTGAGGCGCGTCTGTTACTATGTTGAATATATTTCGAGGCAGCTGATTTTATCATATATTTATATCTTTATAATGTTTCTGCGATAAATAAATTATTCAGAAATTAATCTTGCTTAATAAAAAAGAAGCAAGATTCATTTCTCAACATGATTTTTTTTTCTTTTTCTGTTTGAATCAAATAAATAACTATTTTACCTGAGTTTATTTTGTGCATTCCTTTTTGTTATTTCGAAGCTCATTTTGTCTATACTTATTGTTATTTATAATACTTAAAACATTACTCACTAATAGTTAAAATTAATTGGTCTCAACACATTTCTTTTTCTTATATTACATAAAAATTATTCTTAGATTGTTAGGTAAATCTTAATTATTAGAACTATTATTTATCATCATAATTATTTTGTATAATAATTCAAGTTATTGTTTATAAATAATTGTTTGAAATCAAAAACATCACTGACAGATCACTTTTTTTTATCTGATTTTGTTTCGCCGATTCTATTTGTTATCAGGGACTTGAGGTTGCTACTTCGCAAATTCATTGCTTTTAATAAAATGTCACTCGTTTCTTTATTCTACAAAAAAAAAAAAAAAAAAAAAAAAAAAAAAAAAAGGAATTTTCATGACGAGCTGCTTTCCAATAATCTAGATTACAACAAATCATATAATTTTTTTTCTAAGTAAGATCCAGTTATGTTTACTTAATATCAATACAGGATCGTAAAGGGGAATAATTTCAATCTATTCCTGCATTTACATTTACTGCTAAGCTATTTACGAATGTATATAATCTAAATTATTAATCCCATTGAATTTTTTACACGGCAGGGTAATGTCAATTTTTAAAAACTTAAGACTGAAAGTATGATAGACGCATAACACATTGTGAAATAATGCTGCAAATGATAGCCCGCGAATTATAATTGAATACCGTATAGCTAATAGTAAATCTTTTAATTTAAAATAATTTGCTGACGTGAAAGTTAGTAGACCTAACGGGAAATGTTTTCAGTAAAAGATTTTTTTTATCTTCAAAAAAAATTTTTTTCAGATAAAATTTTTTTTTTCTTCAAAATTTTTTATTTTTTTAAACAAGAAAACATCATTTTATAATAACATACTTTATTTCTATTTTTTTAAAAATAGTTTTAATAGAAAAAACTTTTTTCAATGATATATATAGTTCTAAACTATTTCGCCCAGGAGAAAAAAAAACATTATTTGATAAAAATGGTATTTTATATTTTCCGAAATTATTTTCTAAAGACGATTTTTTATTTTTATTTTATGCATTTAAAGGTTTTTAAAAATGGTATCTCGAAATTTGTATAAATACAATTGTGCAAGACATAGTTAATTCAGTATGTACGAATAGTATGAAAAATATTAAACAAACTTATAAAGAACTTTAAAAAAAAAAAAAAAAAAAAAAAAAAAAAAAAAAAAAAAAAAAAATTTTTTTTTTTTTNAAAAAAAAAAAAAAAAAAAAAAAAAAAAACAGTTTTACGCTGCTTTATAGGGAATTCGATTACAAATAATATCTTATAGGGCAAGATAGAAGTTTTTTTTAAAAATATTCTAGTTCTGTTATAAAATTGCATGTTTTTCCTTAATATATGAATGAACTTTCTAAAAATAAATCATGACTTTTAAAAGTATTATTTCCTAGCAATTATCATTACAACTTTAAAATTAAAGCAAAAAAAAAAAATCTTATTATTGTTATAATTTGGCCATTACTATACAAGCTTTTAGAAAAATAGAGTCGTGTTTAACAAACCTTATAAGCGATTGCTTTATAATCTCTTGCTGATACAGCAAGAAATTTCGACTGAATCTCATACTGTACAAACACAGTTATAAAATCCTGGTTATTCTGGTTCTGTTAAAAATTGCAGGTTTTCTCTATACAAGAACTCTTTAAAAATAATTCATGGCTTCTAAAAGTATTATTTCATATCAAATGTCATTACAACTTTAAAATTACAGGGAAAAAAAATCATTAAAATTTAGCCTTAGAATTGTATTTAACAAACCTAATAAAGTTCATCACAGATACAGCTAGAAATTTTGGCTGAATCTGATACTGTCTAAACACTGTTATAAAGTTCTGATTATCCTGGTATAAACATTCTTGTTCTGTTAAAAACTGCATGTTTTTCACTAAAAATGTACATGAACTCATTAAAATAATTCATGGTTCTTAAATGTATGACTTTCCATTAAGTGTCATTATAACTTTGAAATTAAAAGGTGAAATATGTAATTATTATTTTAATTTGGAAAGTACAAATTTTAGAGGAATAAAATTGTGTTTAAGAAGCCTTATACAGTACATTATCAATAGATTAAGAATTTTTCTTCATATTGTACAATACAAGCTTTGTCATAAATTTCAAATAACAATATTCTAGTTCTGCTAAAAATTGCCAACTTTTTCTAAAACTCTAAAAAATCTTAACCCTTTGCGGTCATATTAAATTTATATATAGATGTCGTACTAGTCGGAATTAATTTTTAATGGAATAATATGCAGGGTTATGCATGAAAATCAAGGAGGGAGGAACGGTTTATGAAGCTGATTCTGAGAAAAAACGAATTTCTAAGTTTGAGAATATTCAGGAGCAAGCAAACAATTCCATTGAAAGAGTAAAAAAAGTCTGATCTTTTAAATTGTGCCATAAATTTTGCCACGGAAAGTCTTCTAAAACATATGCTGCTGAAAGAAAGATTGTTTACTTAGTATCAAAGCGTTTCCATATTTTTGTCAAATCTCTGTAGGTTATCGTCACATATAATTAGCAAGTAAAATTACTTTACATTCATTTCTTCTTATTGTGGCGCACGTTGTGTATTTTTTTTTCAAGTACAGTTGAATATTTTTCAAATTCCAAATAATGTTTCATTTTGATATTAACAAAATGAAACATTATTTGGAATGAACATTATTAACAAAACATCTTAACATATGAACAAAATGTTCTTACACATAACTGTAATTATTATATATTGTATAAACAAATGATTTTCTTAAAAAATCAATATCGATTTATAAGAATAATTAAAAGCAGATGATTGAAAGACAATCACGGAGATCGCGTGGATTCGAACTGTACATAAAACTATAATTATTAAATAAACAAATGATTTTTCAGAAAACAATATAGACTTTTAAGAATAATTAAAAGCAGAGATGATTGAAAGGCAACCACGAAGATTGGTTAGCAGAGCTTCCTAATAAAATAAAATAATCCTAAAAAACTTTTAAGAGTAATGTTAAGTGTTGATAAATAATAATTATAACTAAAAACATTATATTGAGCATAAACTAAACTATAATAGCCTCTACCTAGAGTTATAATCTAAAAAAGTAAATAAATAATTCCGAAATTTTGTTTCATTGATAAATTATTTGATTGTTCTTAAATTCTGTTTCATTGAGTTCACAATATAACAACTTTAAAAAAAATAAAATTTTAACTGTTTTTTTAAGATAGCTTCTACATATAAGTCCTAATCGTAAAATATTTTCGTTCAATTATATATAAACTATCGAAAATTTTATTTATTGAGGCTCTAAAACTTTTAAATTAAAAAATAGCAGTTGAGGATTTTGAGATTTAAAAATGTAATAACTTTAAAACAAATTCAGAAGTTTAGGAAATTTATTGGGGGTGGGGGGCAAGTGCCCCCATGACGCTACGCATCTGTAGAAAACGGCATACAATACTTTTTTATTTGCACATTGTCTTCTCCCCTTTTTTGGAGCGGAATCATCTTCAAAACCCAGCACTTTGCTTTCTTGGCGTGTTATAACCTCAAAAAAAGGGTATATACGTTTACAATTTTCAAAATGATGCGGTGGCCCTCATCATTTAGCAATTTAAGGGTTTCTTAACTGATTATGACACGCCCCTCTTTTTGGTGCCTAGTTTAATTACGGGGAACTATTTTTTTATATGGTTAATAATATAGTCTTATGGCTTCATGAACAATTTTATATATGGTTGTTGATCCGATGTTAAGTTCCTTCATAATCATTTGGTACGAAAAACGATTGACGTTCATTAACATTTTCCGCATGGCACACGCGTTCATCGAGGATACTGAAGTTAGGAAACCATATCAAGGATTATTGCTGGCGGTGGCCTTCCTGTGCGTTCTTCATGCTGAGGAGATTTGCGGCTTCGGAGAAATTCTGTAAACCATCTGAATTCAGTAGCTCAAGATGGAGCTTTATTTCTAAATGCTAAGCATTCTTTTTAATTTGATAATCGGAAAACAGCACGATAATGCTTTCGCATCAGCTTCATTCTCTCTTCAAAAATTTATTCCATGTTAAACAGATTAAAACTCAGTCTAAAAAATCGTCTGCTGTGTTAAAATCGTTTTTAGCTACTTCTCGTCAATCTGCGTGTGTTTATATATAAATAACGAGGAATAAAAAGTTCAGATGAAAATAATTCATGAAAGCATAATTGTCGTAAAAAATGTCATTGTAAACTTGAAATTGGTGTGGAAAAAGTTAATTATTATAATAATTTTGCAAATAGTATGCTACGTAAGCTTTCAGAAAATGCTAATTTATTTTCTTTTTTCTTTTGGAAAATTTAAGGTAGTGCTTTCTTTACCAATTAAACTTTTTCCGCAAAAAAAGAAGAAATTGAAATGTTAATAAAAGAATAATAACATTTATTTTGGTATATTTGATTGATATTATCAACTTGATAATATCAAGTGAATAAGCATTTTAGACAAACTTACTCAATAAATATTATTTGTCACATAAAAAAAAAATATTTGATTATGCCTGTCGGTTGAAAAAGGTGAAATGCATTTTAAATTACGAATATATTTTAACAGGTTGGTATGATTAGAAGAATAATTGCTGACACTGAGAAAACAGATTTTTATAGTGATTACTAGATTTTAGGAACATAAAAAAGAAAACTCCATCTGCATTTGAAATGGAAACGGCTATTTTAAATCTACATCTGATGTCATTCTGAATACCCACCTGCTTGATCTCGAATATTCTAACCTGTTGTTGAATTCATATTGCATTTCTTAAGACAATGGACTCATAATTGGTAAGTTTTAAGTTGTTTCTTTTCTTTTTACACGCATAATTTGTAGCATGAAGTTAATACTAATACTCCCAAAATATTATTACTATTTGTATATGGTACAGCTATACCTCGAAAGTAGTTAATATACACATTATCTAATTTGCAGATTAACTATAATACGCTAAAGAGCGGAATAAAGAATTTCCGCCATATATCTAGGCAATGTTTTCTTCTCAATCTTCAAACATATGTTAAATCCTTTAATGTTGATGAATTAAAAAATAGCACCAATAAAAATTTTAAAAAATTTCCCCGCCCCTTTCTAAAAAAAAATTCGAATAGGCTGTGAGAATAAAAAGTGGTGAAAGGCGATTATAATAGAAGCACCTTGAAATTTCACAGGTAATCAAACTGGTTCTGAATCACTCTTTCCTCAATAGTTATTCTTTGCTATTTTTCTTTCTCGCTTAAATATTAATTTCTGATCTTCATTGGATATTTTTTTACTTCATTTTGGAAGAAATATTATAATTATATATTAAAGATGGTGATAATTCAATTTATTTTCAAACAAAAAAGTTTTTTTTGTTGACAATCACAGAGGCAACGAGCTTTCTTTTAAACTTTTCAATGTATTATAATTCTAATGCATATACTAATACATATTATGTAAACTAAGACAAATTTATTTTAATAATAATTTGTTTTATCTTTTAGGATCGAAGAATGATTAAAATATCAATCCATTATGACCAATTTCTTGTCCTGTGTATCAGTGTCTCTTATTTTTATCACTGTAAATGTAATGGGTTGCAAAAATGAACTGTTCAAAAACGTTGCTTTCAACTGTGAACTTTCAATACATACCAATAATCAAAGTCTGTACTGCAAAAGCAGCATTTTACCCATATCCAATACATTTTATATTTTACACCTGCATCAACGGAAAGAAATTAAAATTACTACACAGGGATTTTTTGAATCGTTCATGAAGTCTAATTTTGAAAATGATTCAGCAATGTACAGCTGCGAGAACCATCCAATGATTTCTGACACGGATTTAATTGCAGAGGAATTTTGCATTAAATTTGACAGTTGCATAGAACAAGTGGCAAGCTTTATTAACACATCATTCGTACAACAACTCAACATAACAAACGCTAATATAGCATTACTGAGTTTTCAAGACTTAATGAACCTAACTTCGATAAGCATTTTAAATAATAATGTGTCCCATGTGTCGAAAAAACTTTTTAAAACTCAAACCATTTTAGAAACACTAGTTTTAAAAAACGATTGTATTCAGCATTTACAGGCTGGAACTTTCGAAGCACAAGATAAACTAATTTCATTAGATTTGTCGATAAATAGCTTGAAACACTTTCCAAAAGAGGCTTTAATTAATCTAATAAATTTAAAGTACTTGAATGTATCGAACAACTTAATTGAAACTATAGCAAATAATGATTTTACAGTGCTTTTACATCTAAATGAGCTGGATCTTTCGAATAATAAATTGACAACGATTGATGCGAATACTTTTAACTCCAACGGTTTATTAAAAGTTTTACATCTTAGCTGTAACAATTTTAAAGTTCTACCTGAATTACTTTTTTCCAAATTAATCAATTTAGAAAAGATTTATTGTCGAAATTGTGAGCTTCACAAATTAGACGAAGATTTATTTGTCAACAATGTTAAGCTGCTGCGTTTTGATTTTAGTGAAAATAATATCTCAGTTTTACCCTCTGAAATTTTTCGGAACCAGGTATTTCTAGAAATAATCAATTTAAGCAAGAACAAAATATCTTATTTGAATTCATTCAAAAATAAACCTCGTTTGCACGCTCTGCTCATGTCAGAAAATAACTTGCTAGCTTTGAATGAAGACACATTTTTAGAAGCTCCTTCAACATTTTGGATTATACTGAATAAAAATAACTTAACGTCAATAAATGACAACCATATAAAACATCTACGAAATGTTGGTTTTTTAGATCTATCAAATAATAAGATCACAAATATTGAGCTAGGTAAGACAACAGAAGTTATGATACGGGTCTTATATGTATCCAATAATCTGGTGAAGAAATTTGATGTAGAATGGCGAAGCTTTGTATACTTAGAGATATTAGACATGGATTATAATCAGATAAAGTATATAGAGATTCCACCGTGCATTCCCAATTTAAAACAAACTATTACAATTTCTTTTAAATTTAATAACATCACTAAAGTTGGTTTAAAATCTCTTCTAAGGGACGAGATGCGAGCTCTAACAGATCGGACAATGGCCGGATGCTTATTTAACGGTATGGCAAAGAACTTTATTGACCTGACTCATAATCCCTTACACTGTGACTGTGATTTGTATCCATTACACAATTACATTGTTCGAAAAACTGGTATTAAATTGGATAGTTTTCTAAACATTGAAAATCTTACTTGCAATAGTCCTCCACGTCTAAGAAATGAGTTAGTGTCTGAATTACCAGGAGACGTCTTCAGTTGTCCGATGGTAGAAGATTGTCCAAAGTCGTGTATTTGTGGAATCCGCGGTCAAGACGATGAAATTTTTGTTAATTGTACAAATAGAGGACTTGAAACAATACCAGAAAATCTTCCAGCTGATACCACTGTTCTGTACTTCAATAATAATAATTTGCGTAATTTCTACTCACTAAATTCTCACTCTTATAAAAATATAACAGAGATACATGCCGATAATAATAAAATTACCACTTTGCATGGTTTGAAAATGCCGGAGAATTTAAAATATTTATCTTTAAAAGAAAATAGAATCAGAGATTTTCCTGAATCGTTTTCAGATTTCTTAAATGATCATAAAGATTTTAAGCTTTTTTTAAGCAATAATAACACATATTGTGACTGCGAGAAAAAACCTTTGAAAAATTTCTTGCTAAAAAACTCAGCTTCAATCAGAGACGTAGCTAATATCACTTGTGAAATCGATAATAATGGAACAATATCTATTTTACCCTTATATAAAATTCCCGATTCAATTCTATGTCCGAAGTTTAACGGACAAAACTTAAGTTTTAAAATAACAATATGGCTCAGTATTTTATTTTTTACAATGATAACAATACTACTCGTATACTATAAACAACGACAGCTCATACTATCGTTTCTTTACATTCATTGTGAACAGTTATTTCAGTTGCTATGTGAAGAAAATGAGCAAATGGAAGAAAAGATTTTTGACGCATTTATCGCTTACAGCAGCTGTAATCGTGATATTGTCATGAAATTAATTGAAGAGTTAGAAGAAAAAGACCCATTCTTCAAGCTATGCATTCATGAGAGAAACTGGTTGCCTGGGCAGTATATAAGTGACAATATCATACATTCAGTTCAAAGCAGCAAAAGAACAATCATAGTGCTCTCAGACGATTTTATTTCTAGTCCATGGTTTAGACTAGAACTTCGAGCCGCTGTTTTCAAAGTTTCAAAAGATAAAATGAATAAGATTATAGTTATTTTAGCAGACAATTCAACCTCCTTAGATGGTATTGATACAGAATTAAGACACGTGATAACCAAACGAACTTATTTAGTTTGGGGCGAACGCTGGTTTTGGGAAAAACTAAAGTATGCGATGCCTCATAAAAGCAGAGAGCTACCTGAAGATCGTTATATAACTCTAAATGATAGGAAAGGTAGTAGCACAACGACGCTTATTGAAAGTGGGGCAAATAGTGTTATTCCAGTTGTAGTGTAGAAACATCAGAGAAAGAACAAAAACTAATTAGAATTATTTTTCGGCAGCTCAAAGAATATGGATATTTGCTAAATTCTGCCTACTTATTGGTAACTTAAAGTAAAAAAAAAAGATAATAATTTTTTTTAACTTTTTTTTTTAAAAAAATCGATTAAGGAAGGAAGGAAAAAATATATAAAGAAAGAAAGGCCATAACACACTTTTAGGCACTAATTTCTAGCGAGAGTAGAAAAAAAGAACCAATAAACATGACTAAGCATATGACTTGTGAATAAAAATGAAGGTTTATTTTTATTTCTGATTAATTTTGTGAGAACATACACTACGGCACTTTACCCTACATTAAAGTGAGTACACTTTCTTCATTTTTTTGGATGGAGGACAGTATCAAGAAAAATTTATTAATTCCACTTAAACAGTTTTGCAAGTAAAAAGGCAAAATATTAAATAAGATGAATGTGCAAAATAAATAATTTATAATTAGGCTTTTAATTGGACTCGTTTACCACAAACGCTACAATAAAAAACGAAAATAAAAAGTTGTGACGTTGAAGCAATGATCTGCGATTGTGAAAGGTCCTAACGGCAGCGACAATAAGCCCATCCATCTTATGAAGGAAAATCAACTTATCTTGGAAGTAAATGTGGTCGGGGCGCAATGTTGGAAAAATTGCCGCTGTCATGCTATTGGTCTCAAAATTTTGGAACCTTAACCTTCATGACCCTTCTAGTCAACAAAGCAGCTGTTGCGAAAATGCTTTTTTAAAAATTAAGAATAAATTCTTTCCGTACTTCATTCTTCTTGAAAAGACTTCATCTTTCGAATTACATCATAAAAGATAAGCCATGAGCAATTAGGCATACAAGCAAATCAGAGGATTTTAAGTAAGGTATATTTTTAGCTTTAATTAATATATATATACATATAAAAAATTTTATTATATTTAAAAAACATTAAAAAAATTTTGATATATAAGATTACAAATTTTTATATAATTCTAAAGAATGTAATTTTATGTGGCAAAATATGAAATGAAAGAAGTCGTATACTTAAAATTCGATTTCTCAGAAACTATTCAAACGATTTTGGTAAGAATTTTATGTTTTAACACATAAAATTAAATTTGTTAAAATGAAGTAAAAATTTGCGTACTTTACAGTTCAAAATTTTTTCGACCATTATTAAACTATTATAAATAATTATAAAAAATTATTTTTTGCATGGAATTAATTATCTTTGGATAAATGCATTTTATAGTTGTATGCAGAAGTTTTCAGTTCGTTTAAAAAATTTCCGAGCTTTAGCGAAATACGCAAAAAAAGAAATTAACATTATCTCCCATATTTTGAGGGTCAAAAATTAAAGTTCGTTGGAAAAAAAAGGTACCGTATATTCCGGCGCATAACGCGCACCCGTAATTTCTAATTACTTTTTTTAAATTTTAAAATATACTCTTCGTATAACGCGCACGAAAATTTGGATTGTACATGTGCAATATCTCGTCTTTCAAGATCGTAAATAAAAAGTATTTTTCCCTATCTTTTGCAAAAATAAAAGAACTGAATTTGACATGTATGTGAGGGTTGAATTGAAGGAGCAATAATGTGATTCTGGATGGACAAAAATGGTGTTAAATTGTGGGTAAAAAACATCTGGCAAATCCGTCCTGGTTGCGTTAGAAAACCACAAAGCCTTTTAGAGTGGGACATGTTTAGGTCCCACCTTACAGATAATACAAAAAAAGTTGTAATTATGATACAAAAAAATTTTAATAATTGTAATTGATAGTGGAAGACGAATATAATGAACTATTTATGTAATAACGAAAATCGATGAAGTATATAGGTAAAGGTATGTTATTTCTTTAAAATAAAAGTATTTTTCTATATTTAAATTTTTTTAATCCATAGTTTTTTATATTCGGCGTATACCGCGCACCAGTGTTATTATTTGTATTCCAGTGTTATTATTTGTATTAAAAGTGCGCGTTATACGCCGGAATATACGGTATGTCTATTCCGAAAGAAAGTACGTGCTTGTGTCTGGTTTACTTTCAGCGCTAATTAATTAGCATATTTGAGGTCACCCTCGTGAACCATTAAGATTGAGTCTTAGAGCGTGAAGATCCGATCATTCGATCAAAAATTATTCAGAAACTTCAATTTTTTTTGTACACTGTACACTAAAAGAAGCATGTTAAATACATGCTAGAAATATATTGTAATAAACATAAACTAGCAAAAGCATAGTTAATATATAGAATGTAATAATATACACTACTACAAGCAAAAGTTTTGAAACTAACTGCATATTTTACTGGTGGTAAAAACTCAAAGATGCAATCTGTCTAGAGGAAATGTGTTTGTTAAATGGGTACTATTTAAAATGAGATGAATATGTTTTTTTTAATAATGCAAAGAAGCTTCATTATAGTTTGTAAATCTACATTCTAGTTATACTGAAACAAATATATACTTCAGCAATAAATGTACAACAACTTCAGCTGAAATTTTTAAACCAGATGCATGATATTTGAGGGCAATTTACCTGTAAACATGTTATTTCACAGAAAATATTTATTTAAGTAATCGTATTTCAGAAAAACAAACAAAAAATCACTTCTTAAATTTAAAAGAAAATAAGAATAGATCTCATTGAAATTAGCTCAAAATATATTTCCCTTGTACATAAACTCTTATTTTAATATATTGAATGTATTTTATGTTGCATATAAATTAAGTATCCCTTCACCTATGCATATTTTGAAAAAATAAATTATTTTAATTGTTATTTTACAATAACTAATAAATTATAAATGTTTAAAAATACTAATTTTTGGATTTTCTTGAAAACTGGGAGTGGGGAGGAATCAGGTTCCATTACATAAAATAAAATTATTTCAATTGAGATAAATCAAAGGATAGTTTAACAGGCAAATTTAATACCTATTACCAGAAAATTAACAGTCTAATTGCACTTATAGTCTGCAACTATAAACATAAACACATGAAAAACAAATATTGTAAATGATTTTTGTTTAGAAATCTTACTTTAAAAAATAGCCAATAGCTAAAACATTAACAGCTTTGAATTTTATTGCCAGTTTCTTTAAAAAATTGTAAATTTTTGCGCAAAAATATATTTGAAAAGTTGGGATTTATTTTTAACTAAAAGTTGGGACCAATATTGGGATTTATTTTATTAAACTTGAAATATTGAATACTAAATAAAACTGAATAGTTTTTTTTTCTTTTTATATACATATGCTTAAGAAAACTTAAAATCAACCATTTTTTATATTGTAAATAGAAAAAATTTTATATTAAAATCAAGGTCATATTTTTTTTTTTAGAAGTGTTTTTCAAGTTTGGGAAATGTCTCAAGCAGTTCACAGAAACAATTTGACAACCTAATTTCAGAACGAGAATTGAGAAAAATGGCTGTGCATCTTTTACTTGTAAATATGCATTCTTGAATTTTGTTGCTAAAAGTTTGCACCATAAAGTTAAATTAAATTTCCAATAAATTTTGTTTGTGAGTGTGTTTTAAATCAGTTTAAAGACATTTATACATTTAATTAATCAATGCTAACACATAGCCTTGCAATGCTCACTGCATGATAAGTCAAATAGAACCAAATGATAAAGTGATAATTTTGAATCCTGGACAGCTCTCCACAAAAAGTGCTTAGAACTTATAGATTTTAACTTAAATAATAGAAACTACTAATTGCTTATATTAATGACTATACAAGATTGACTGCTTAACATAATTACTACAGTTAGTAATAAAAATTAGTAAAAATCTGATCAAGATATTTTTTTCTCAGAAAATTACTTTCAAAGTTTGAATAATACAGAAAAAATAAATTGATATATCCTCATAGAATTGATTTTTTTCTAAACTATGGAATAAAAAATCCAAGCCATGAGCAGTTTATTTCTTCAACCAGTTCAAAGCAGGCAACTCTACAAAGCAGATAAACTAATACTTGTTATTAAATAAATTATAATGTGCTTCTATTTTATGAGGTTATTTCTATAAGCTTAAAAACAAACAAACAAGCTATTTATGTAGAGAGATGATATAGCAATAAATTTAAACAATTTGGTAACAATTGATTTGCATAGTTATTAATTTAATTCTTTTATTATTGTGTTATTTTGAAAGATTTACAATAAATTTTCCTGTTTTAATGCAGCTTTTCCTTTAAACAATATTGTAAAATTATTTTTAATGTGGCAAACCAATCAAGTGCTATCAAAAATTCTATAGGTGACAAAGAGAAGATTAATATAACTAAACAGAATGAAAGTTTTTCTTTCTTTCTATTGCAGTAATGATACAGATTATTATCAAAAGATAAAATGTACAGATTTATTTCAAACAAGAAATATTCTTTAAAATGTCAAATGCGATTATAAATATTCTTGAAAGTCATCATGAAAGTTTTAGAAGGTAATTGTGATAATAAAGGTGACATTTCCACACCAAATTGAAACATGATTTTTTTAATAAAGAATATACAGAAAGAAAAGAGAGAGAGAAAGAAAAATCAGTGCATTTTATCATTTTTACTGCTACATTACTTTGAAATTTCCTTTTAAATTGAGTTAATATTTAAAAGAGTTAAGTCTTACTACACATGGAGCATCACCAATTATAAGTATCTTCCCAAATTTAGACTATTTTCAGAATTTTAAATTTCTTTTTTTCAAATAAATTTAATTTTTAGATATATAAATATAGATATTATTAACAAACATTAAAATCATAATTTAAATTTGCCAGATTAATTAATGGGAGCTAACTTATTGAGCTAATTACTGGAAATCTCACATCTAAATTTTAAAAAAAATGTCAGTATTTTTTCACTATGAAAGTAGGAATGAGAAAATTCTCAATTCTTTTCAATGTATTCTATACTTTTTTTTCATACTGAGCAAAAAACTATTTTCTTAATTGATTCAATACTTTTCCATAAATAATTGAATTTTGTTACAAGCGGGAGAAGACTGGTCAAATACTGTTGAATGATGCATACATAGTATGTTATATGTGAAAAAAAAGATAATGAAGTCCAATGGAAATTCATATTTCTTAATGAATAAACAAAAATGAGGAAATATTTCATAAAGATTTCATAATAAAATAAGTATTAATTTACAGGAATTCAACACTATCTTCATCATTTCCACTCCCTTAAAAAACTAAGCCAAGTTTTCTAACCATAGTTAAACTTCTTTATTTTTCAGTTCTTGAAATACCAATATATTTTTTTGACACCAAAGTGTTTACTAAGTTAAAATAGTTTTTCTTACTTCCATTAAGGTCGATGCTAAAAAGTTATCCAATGATTCATTTTAATAACTAATTTCGAAATACCTAATAAGGAATTATGTATTTTGAAAATTTCCTACATTGAAAAATTTAAGAGAAAATGAAAATTTCTAGAAATCATTTAAAAATTTTGTAATTGTTAAAATATTTACTGTAAAAATTACATAATAAATTAAGAAACTTGTCAATTTACTATAAAACTGACAAAAGCGTTTAGAATTCAAAAAGAGTAAACATGATTGAAATCACTTGATATTTAATAATTAAAAGACATCATTGATTTAAGCCAAATACATATATATGTATATATATATATATT